TTGTTTTACCCGAATCGGAATGGGGTAATAAATACGGATTAGTCGTTCAAGATGACTTAACCAGATATTTAATTGTCGCATGTATGGAAAATCAGGAAGCACAAACAGTAGCAAGAACTTTTGTCGAAAATGTGATCTGTAAATTCGGGTGTCCAAAAGAAATAGTGACCGATCAAGGTGCGAACTTCATGAGTAACCTCATGAAAAACATATGTAAAATTTTGAAAATTAAAAAAATCAACACAAGTGCATACCATCCACAGGCTAATTTAGTGGAACGTTCAAACAGAGAGTTGAAAACCTATTTACGACAATTTATTGGAGGGAATCAAAGAACATGGGACCAATTGATACCATACTTCAACTTTGAATACAATACAACGATTAACTCTTCAACAAATTACACCCCATTTGAGTTATTATATGGACGAAAGGCAAAAATTCCCACATCCATTTATAAAAAAGGTAATTCCACAATGGACTATCATGATTACGTTGGTGAAATGAAGAGTATTTTGAGCAACATTCATTATAACGCAAGAGAAAACTTGAAAATATCAAAAGAAAAGCGGAAGGTTCAATATGACAAAAATTCAAATCAATGGCAACCAATGTGGGGAGATTTAGTTTTAGTGCAATCAAACCCTATGGGGGTAGGACAAAAACTACAGAGTATGTGGCGTGGCCCATACACAGTAATGGAAATTCCTAGTGAACAAACCGTGGTAATACAGAATGGGAAGAAATTAGAAAAAATCCACGTCAATCGTATAAAGCGATACAATGATTAATCAATGAACAATGAAAAGTACGCGAAACAAATTCGTCAGTACCGATAAATAATTATTTATTTATCGATTATTATGTACATAATATTTATATTATAATTAAGAATAGAGAGACACACATATTAAAATAACAATTAAAATTTGGATGTTCCTCCAGGAGATGACTATGAAAATGGAAAGAATACTGCGAGCAAATAATAAAACTATTAGCGAAGTGAAAAAAAAGAAGTGATAAACTGTAGCTAATGTATAAGAGGGATACATGGAATGTTTGTGAGAGAGTGCGTTAGACAAGGGAAGACGTTCCCGGAACGAATGATGTATATGGTGATGATTAAATTGAATAGTAATATAAATAAATAATAAGAATAAAAATCGAATGGATATTATTGACTAAATGATAATGACCCCGGGGTATGTAGATATAAAATTAAGTATTGTTATTTGGAAATGAATATATGGAATCACCAGAATGATAAGAGACAATTGAAAATTGTAAAGAAAAAGTATATATTAAATTTCAATTGGGATTAATAAGGGATTGAACCAAATGTTCAAAACAAGCATATATGGAGATGGAAACATAAAAGCGAAGCTTCAGATAAAGTTTCAAGAAAATGAAAACAAAGGTAAAATCATATATAGTTAATAATAGTAGACAGTATTTTCTAATATAATTAGTGATGAAAACAATTCAAAGAGATACAAAAAATTTCGACCTATATGTAATGCATGCAGTAATTGAATGATTCAGCTAATAAAACAAATGTATTCATCAAAAAAGAGCAAAATATTTTGCAGTACGATTTTGAATGGATCGAAGAGCTAAGGATTGACATTACAGCACACAATATGGGTTAAATTACTGAAAAACAGTTACAGATTTATACAATAATTTCATTAAAAAAAAAAAATTAACACGTTGAAAAATAATACTTATGACAATGATGAAAAAAAAACGATGACAAACAAGATCATAGTGGACAAGAATATTGTACCTAAGCGCTTTGGACTAACTGTGTACTAGAATCTCACAGCGAGATTGAATACAAAACAATTTTGAATGGAAAATACCGTCAAAACACAGCATTAATATACTGTAAATGATCCCAGAGTCGTAAATGATGTTATGGTTGACAATTTATTAAAGGCCGTTTTATTTTTTACAGACCGTTACAGATGTGGAGATAAACAATTGGACAATGGCATTCGGAATCCAGAATGCACGAGAATTTATGACTGAGTCTAACTCAAATTTAAGTTTACTTACAGATACCCACCGTTTCCACTCAATTAGCGAAGACGAGCACTTGCAGCAATTTGGCCACTTTCAAAATTGACTAAATAAAAAGTTAAACGTATTGCCAGAGGAATCTGCAACCGAGCATAGATGAATCGAATTAATACGTGCCGTTTAAAACCTCATTAGGAGAAAGAGAGTACTTGCTGCAATTTCATGACGTAGCCATTCAGATGCTTTGATTAATTGGTGAGTTACAACTACAGACAAAAAGAGTTAAACGAAGTCAGAAAAAAAGTAGGGTAATAAAATAAAAATATTAGCAAAACATGATGAAAGATATCAGAATTAGAAGTATGACACAAAGGAACAAAGTTAAGAGTAAAACAAGAAGTGTAATATCGACAATCAGATAAGAATGTTCAGTTAAAATAATTAATTGTGAATTTGTTTGCTGCAAATAGATAGTATACTGATTATTTATTGTGTAGATGAAAATATAAATTTGAAAAAAAATAAGAGCAGCAAGCAACTAACGCAAAATATTATTAATCATATCATGTCAATGATATCAAAGTATGTAAGCCAAGTTAAAAAAAAAATAATAATTATAGTTGATTCAAAAGATGAGTAGAAAATAATTTGAATATACCAAAGTTATAGTTTAATGAATGTTTTAGAGTGAAATTGATAAAAAAATAAATTATAGAAAAGAAGATTATTGATGATACAGTGAAAAAGGGAAAATCGATTTTGAATATCCTTGGATGTACCAGGTGGCGAATCTCAGAGACGGTCAACAGCGAAGGAAGAGTCACATTCACAATGGCTAGATGACAATTATGCGGAAGATTGAAGATTGACGGTGTTGGGTAGGATCATCGGAAAAGTATACGGAACAGGAAGATGGAATCGAGTGGTTTATCGAGGATAACAGAATTGATCAACACATTATACTGTATAGATGAGCAATCTTTGGCATAAGCTCATCACACAGCATCTAAAAAGACAAACTACTTCAGCAACGGTTTCGCAAACATCATCATAAAACTACAGAACATACAACGTAACGTTTGATATGACATCATTAAACATCAAACTCAAAAATGGCAATGAAGCACAATCAAGTACACAACTAACGCATGGTATGGCACAAACAATAAATTGACTAGCTGCATATATAAACTCAGATAGAAAACAGTCGTGGATAAAATCCAAAACAAGTTTACATCTTATAACGAAAATCAAAAAAAGATGTGGAATCATACTACACCATAGAGAAAGTTGAAGTTCTAATAAGCACTAAAAAAGTTTCCAACAGAAACATACATAATGACGAGATACGATCAGTACAAGACATAGATATGAAAGACGATGAAGAGTAACCTGAATGCGGCAAACAACGAATCATAGATGGCGGGGAATGGCAGATACACCCACACCTGATAGATCGCATGGATGAACGAGCAGAAACGAAGGAGCTTTTACGAAAGGTACAATTGAGGATCACCCTAAGGTTAGGAGAAATATGGCAACAAGAAAGCACGAAATTTTTAAATCGAAGGTTACCAACTCAAGCGTATTGATAATAATTTTCGCAAAATGATTCTCAAGCTCAGTAAGTAAGGGGGGATGCAACAACCCCAAATTCAAACATCAATCCTTATAGTGAATTATTCGTAATGATTCTATAGAATGTTAACATTAAATATCAATTGCAACAAGAATGGTATAACTCAACTAAACGCATAATTAACGTAAGTCAGTTAGGCAAATTTTCATATCAGCAAAACGCGTGATAAAACTTGTTAACACAGATGATTTAGCCAAATGACAAAATTTAGTTAAAGTATGAACGACTGAATATGTTTATCAATAGTACAAAGTAGGGTCTTAAGAAAGGCACAGTAGGAGTAAGAACCATAATAAGAAGAGCCAGTACAAAATTTAGCAAATATAGAATAGTTACCAGCGCATATCCTTGAGAAGAATCTCTTCGATATTATTCTCAAGCTGGTTAAGTAAGAGGGGATGCAAAGGCCTCAAAATCCAATATCAATCTGAGTAAGAAATTAACCAGTAATAGACCCCCATACGGTAGTAGAAAATACACAACTTAACAGCAGCAGTGACAATGTTGCACATTTCCAGGGTCAGTTGTTTATAAACAGTTGCTACCGCGTCGTCAGCGATGCGTGCTGGCTTAACTAGGTGCTTCGAGAAAGGTCAAAGTAAACATTGGTGAGTAAGCATCATACATAGCCGTTCCTACCGCGAGGAGCATTAATTCTTGTTAAAAAAAAAACAGACACCGACTTTCAAAGAGAAAAACTATCTGTCTCGCTTTATATGTACATACTGGAGAAAAACTATTGTGTAGAGTTTAAGTAACAAATTCATGTATAAAAGGTTTCCAATAATAAAGAATCGGGGCAGTTGTTCTGATGAGTTTATTATCCGAGGTTTGCTAGGTGCGGACGAGCACAGTTCCAACCTCAGGATAACTGATTCATCAAAGAGCTTTTTCCATACAGTAGAAATGGAATTGCACTGTCTTTCATTTTACGGAGAAAGAAAGACCACGCGAGTTGTTGCTCTACGTTGGGCACTTCAACACGGGATTGAAACATGGATGCGCAACGGAATATGGGCGCTTCACTGGAGAAAAACTACAATTTTATCAAATTGCAAAAAAAAAATCATAGCGACACTTGACAAATCATCATCAAGCCCCTCATCCTTGGACAGGGTTTGTCTAAAACTAACAAACATTATAGGTATATATTTTCCGTGTAAAAAACTTGCCCGCTACCGCCAGGCGTCGCTACTGCTCGTGAAGTTAGGAAGAACTGGTTTTCTACATGAGATCCACTTATTTTCTTTGCTAATGTGTTAACTCAAATTTTGGGTAGATTTATTTTTCTGTGTGAACAGTGTGTGTCAGCTGTTTTGGTTTCAAAACAAACATACCGGGGACGGTATGGAGCAGGAATCTTTTTATAGTGACGAAATTGCATACATGTTACTCGTGAAAGACAGTAACGAGCCAAACGATTTAAATTTTACCACGAGTGATGGTGCTGTTAATTGGAATGCAGTGGGGTGTTACTTTGAAGATTATTTGGGTAAGGTTACAAAGTGTAGTGCTATATGACGATCCATCAATGTGCAATAGTAAACAAGTAGCATACACTACAGAATAAGAAGTAGCAAGTTGTCCCGTTTCCCATATAAAAATTAAATTTTATATTTTTTCAGTACCTCACGATCAACCTCTTTCATATGAACACTGTTACCGATTGACGCCTAAATTTCACACGTTCCTGACAAGCTGTCCACATGCATTGTATTCCCCGGAAAAGCTGAAATGGACCAACCGTCTGGAGTTGATAGCAATGACCTCAGAAGCTCCGATTGTAAATTTAACTAGCGTTCTGACCATTTCATCGATCCTGGAGTATTCTCTGGGCAATGTTTACCTCACCGAAAGTGGTTCGATGCCACCACACTTACTTCGAGATCTGTTGATGACTGATACCCTGGCCACAGTAATGGGTGAAACTGTGATATATCTACTGCGCCTTCTACTGGGAACGCCGAACGGCATTAATTTGAGAAACCTAGTCTGGCACGGGTTTCTCAGTGAGGAAGAAGTCAGTCCATTCTATAGCAATTTTTTGCTACTGGTACTGATCACCGTGGGAGACATTCTGGAGGAACGAAACATTGCAATCAAACATCGAAGCTGTCCACAAGATACGAGAAAGTTGTTCCAGCAAATGGGCCTCGTGAGCGTTGATGAGCTTCAGCTACTAAAATGCTTGGAAAATAATAAATTCATATCAACAAGGCAAATGGAAGGTTGGAAGCAAGTTTTAAAATATTACGAGTATGAGCAGTACTATTTTTGCATTAGCCTTGCATTGCCACAGCTAGAGATGTACCTTAGAAGGTTGTACAGCCAACTCTATCAGAGGGATTTTCGAGCAAAGCTTGAGGAGTACTACATTATAATGGATACAGTTTTTGAAGAGTGTAATTCCTGCACGGGTGACCGCAACAAAATTCATAAAGTTTATTCCACTTCAATGTTGGAACTAGTCTACGATCTTCTATCGGCCATGAATGGTCCAAGGATCAGAGATAAGCTAAGTCACGGCGAGCTACAGTTAGAACAGGTTGACGACACCGTTACAAGAGGCGTGCTATTGGCATGCTATGTGATAATAACCAATGGTTCGGATTTCGTTTACAAGAGCCTATTCCATCCTAATGCAATTCTCAGACTGAAACTGGAAGAATGCAAAGCAGCAATCGACATGTGTCAGACTGCCCAGTTACGAGTGGGTTTAGTAGTTGCTGAAGCGGATCAAGATATTCCAATCATACCAGAAGTAGGCATTACAGATAATGTTAATATTTTCTACCGGCCAAAAGGTGAGGAAATAGCAATTGGAATGTTGATGAGAATAGCAACAACGTTGAGGATGGCAGCTAAGAACATGCAAAATTCGTTGGTTTCCAAGCTGGAAGCTATGGAAAAAAGAGAGCTGCGGTCCAGAGCTAGGAATACTTTTACTAACATGATGAAAATGCTTCCTGTAATTTGGAGAGGATTGGACTTAGTAATGCATCTACTTACGTGGATTTTCCACTGTCTAATGCAAAATAGTGAGCTAGATGCTCTCGACAAATTAGTAAGGTAAGGAAGGATATTTCTCATAGTTTCTACGATACGTCATTCGGTTCGCAGGTTGACATATTATTATATTAGTATGTGGTATTTGCCTTTTTTGTTTTGTTGCAGATTTTTGAAGTTTATTCTAAAATACACGGAAAATGCGGCTAACAACCTAGACACAAAGAACAATACCTGGCTACCCCTGTACGATGCAACCAGGCGCGAGCTGTACGATAAAACTAGGCAAAATCTTACGCTACTACTGTGCTGAGAAAAGTTGATATAGAAGTATGTGTTTGGCTTTGTCAAAGTTTTTGAAGGTGATTAAAAATGGTATATTGAGTCGAAATAAATAATGTTTCTATACTGCGAAAAGGCGTGAAAATAGCGGAGAAAATGTGTCCACTTTCTAAGAATTTGTCAGGAAAAATCGCATTCATAGCGCACTTGCTACCTAGGTGCCTATAAATCACAATCGTACCCTATTTAGAATACTTAAAACTAACCGCTAGACTTTGAAACTGTATGCATCTTAATAGAGTTTTGTTTGTACAAATTAAACCCTCCCTAATTAAAGATGAGTGTTGTAATTATAATTACTGAGCGCCCATGATTGAATCGTAGAACGAAGAAACTTACATACAACGAAGTGGTTCTGGTGGGAAGGCAGCAAGACCGGCTCACCTCCTCAAATCGAGTCAGACTGTGGGTGGGATGCCGAATACGCTCTTCCCCTAGTCGGTTTTCAGTCGCTTCGGAGTACTGTCCGATCCTTGTGAATTGGAGTCTTCCGAGAAGGGCATGTTCGAAACAAACTCCGTTGCGCCTTGGGAATCACTCACAAGGGAGAAGCCTAAAATAATAAACCGTTTATTACATGGACAAAATGTAATCGCTAAAGGATACTCACAGGTATTGGAATCTTCGGTGGTCAGTGCAAAATTCGAATTGGAATTCGAATCAGTCCCTGGTTTGCGAGTATTTTCCTTATTTTCACTACTGTTGCTGTTACTATTACTATTGACGGAAGCAGCATTGCTGACCGTCGAATTTCCATTTGTACCCGCACCGCTCACCGTTGTGCTTCCCTTCAGCAGTCCACCTCCCTTCTTGTGGTCTTTACAGGAGATTGGAACCCATTTGTAGATCTTCATCGACGTCTCCCCTATGGTGACCCATTTCTTTTCCCACCGGCGGACCCGATCCATCGAGAGCATAAACTTTTTTACATCGTCTTTCTTACTAGCCCGCGTTTCGGCCCTGACACTACGCGACATATTGGGGAAGGGTTTTTCTTTTGACGAGACACCGACCATAACACGCAGGTAATATCCGGCAAGCGAGTGGATGGAGGTACGCCTCACACGAAGGAGGCGAAAATCGATGACTAGATGGAGTTCACTTACTCCCCCAGTCAAGATTTGCAACCAGCCTCGAAGAAAACACTTGCTAGCACTTCGTTCGCGAATGGACTGCAATTTAAACACACTTCCGACGGATTCTCACTACCAAGATTGTTTATTTCGCATTTTTTCCATCGGTCGAATCGGGGAATGCACAACACACAAAAATGGACTCCGGGAGGCGTTTGTCAATGTTTTCGAAAAGTTTCGAACGTTGATAGTTGATTTCGAAAATATGGACGACTGAATGAAATGTTTCTTTCTGGATAGCGGAAATATTTCCACACTAGATTTTGACCAAGGGGTCGATCTAATATTACGTAACGTGGAAAAACGAGAAGAGTCCCTAATAAAAATTTTATGGTTAATTTGCTTAAAGACGTGTTCAAGGTATCATCCAAACCATTTGTGGAATAGTTCAATGATTTGGGTTATCGTTCGTTTATGGTAATTTTTTATTAGGGGTAGACCATCGACAAACCGACATGAGTGATCATAGAAATTAACATGAAACTTCTGCTCAAAGCACACAACTGACGTCTGTCTGTTAGTGGAAAACGTTTATCAAAGCCTTGAACACGCGTGCAAAATACATGAGTTCAAGAGCAAATTTTCATTACGTCGAATGTAACAAAGGTAAACAAAGTCGAGCTATCAGTGTCAATCGATGCTCCTGCTATTACACTATATACTGTCCGAATATAGGATCACATCTCATTTTTAAATTTATTTACCAGTCGAATTGCTGTTTGACGTAATCACCTTCCGATTAAAATAGTTTTCGATGTTACTTAAGTCACCCGATTTCTATGGAGATGCCGTTTGCCTTAAGAAACAGCACTGAGAAACCCGTGAAAAGTGTACTTTCGTCGTTTCGCTTTCTCATTATTAAAGTGAATAAATCGAACTGTTTGTTGCTAAGATGATTTCGGTGGTCCTAAAATGATGAATGGGCTGCACGCAAGGAGACGTAATTGATAATTCTCCCGAATATCCTGGTAAATACACTTTGACTTAAGTAACAATAGGGGCCACCAAACGACGTATAATAACTTTTGACTCAAAAACCAGTATTTCTTAGCATGAAAGCTAGCGATTTGCTTTTGTATGATTAAAACCCGGCTAAATATGTTAAACATTGCTATCACTATGAGATTATATGTGTTTAATTGGAAATAGGAATAACTTTTCGGTCATCAAAACAAAACTTTATTAATTTTCTCGGATCGGTGCAAATGTTACTTACGACATAATAAAAATTTGCTCTTGAGTTGGTTCGTGTCTGATCTATTATGGACAAGGCGACAATAAATGAACGCAGGACAATGTCGCAAACGTATACAAACTGATTTATTGGTACCACGTTACCATTATGCGACGATGCAAATGCTTCAAAGTTATAGAAAACACTTTTCTTCGTTTTGTTTCAATAAAAAAGGCAAATATCACATTTTTATTTAATTTATGATCAGGTGTGTTGAACACGCCCTGCTTCTCCATGTAGTACATCGGGGAGTAGTTCACGTTTCCAAGAACATTGGAACAATGCTTGCTTTAGATGGTTTTCGAGCTATTTGTCAATATTCTTTCATGATACCAATTAGGCACACTTATTCCATAGAGGTAACTCTAAGCCTAGAAGGTCCCGAAGAAACGTGCTCAAGTTTTTGGCTCAGCTCTGGTACTCTCATCGGTCCCAAGCTAATTGATGCATCCCTCGAAACATCGGAAAATACACGACCCCCTCATTTTATCAGTCAAATTTTCATAGCGAATCAAAACACAAACATAGTGTAGTACTAGAATTTCGTCGAGAATGGGGTACGTTAAACGATTTGCTTGGGACCAATAGTCTAGTCAAGATTTGAGCCAATTTAAAATCGTTAGTTTCCTCCGGTTCAAAAGAAGGAAGCATTACATTTGAATAGCTTTCCAGGTTGAACAAATCGAACCTACTTAGGGCCTATTCATAAACTACGTAGACAGTTTTTTTTTATTATTATTGACCCCCCCCCCCCCCCCTCCCCCTGCGTAGACAATTGTCCATACAAAAAAGATTAAAATTTGTATAGACCGTGGATAATTGTCAACCTATCCCCCCCCCCCCCTTAAACTGTCTACATAGTTTATGGACAGCCCCTGACTCGTGACTGATTTAAAAATTTACTGAGCTTTGAGAAAAGTTCAAAGCCGTAGAAAATGCCTTGCTCATGGGCGAAATGTCCCGCTCCCGATCAGAATGTGTAGCCCGAGTTTGGAGTCAAGAAAGGGTGTTAGATTTTAGACAATATCTTAATAATTTGCGACTCTTTATCAAATCGTCTATAGTAGAAACGTCGCTTCGAATGAGATTCTGATTTCTTTTGGTTGCTGTTCGTTCTTTTCACATTCTTAGATCTAATTTTGAAAAAAAATAAAATACAATGGAATTTGCTTCAATGACATGACATTCGCAGAATAGTTTGATTCCGAACAGACAAATGGAATTGGGTTGTTTAACTTCGAAAAATATACTGATTCTTAAACATTATCTGATAGAGCTTCGTTTTCTGAGCACAATGATAGTTTTATCGATCCCGTAGACATTCATCTCGATTTTAAATCAAGATATAATTTTTTGATCCTTGACACTAAATCTATTCGTAGACAGCGATTTTTTTTTTGATTCAGTTCCAACCTGGATCGGGTATCAAGATTGGGTCGGCTTGTTGTTTGTCAAATGTCACTGTAAGCGTTTGTTTTTATAACCACTTGGCCCGGGTTGAGGTTCGCACTAACAATAAGCTCGGGTTCGCACGGGTTGGAACTGGTTCCAGCCTGAATAATAAATAAATTCGATATAAATCTATTCGTTGACAGCTCGCTCCCATACAAAGTCCCACCAAGGGGCGCTTAGATGGTGATTTTCGCTAATGTAATCGTACTTATTTAAACTATTTCCAGTTCACCAAAATTGATGAAATTTTTGATTTCCGTTCCATTTTTAATGCAGATAACGAAAATGTATTCACTTCAATACCCCTAAACTGCCGCTATTCGCATAAAAGTCCCAGGTCCTATGGATTTCCTGTCTACATAGGACTGTTATGCGAATAGCGGCAGTAAACAACCCAATTAATTTCTTTCAGCGTTAATGAAAATTCGTATATTTACTATCTTTGCGTGTTTTATTTACCAGACGTTCTCATGCTTTTAGACAGAAAAAAATCCTTCCACAAACACACAAACAAGTGTACAGAATGATACCTATACTGTTTCATCGACGTGAATCTTAGACCCTTCGAAATTTTTTGCTTGAATAACTTTATATTCTTATCGTTTTTTTTTTTTCGTTTGCTGAAGTATATTCAAAAGAGCCCTACAAATTAATATTTAAACAATCAAAAAGATTTCTGGTTAACTGGTACGTTTAATCAGCAGGGTATAAAACAATCTCAATTTGATTGCGACTTGATCTGCCCTTACACAATTAATTAATACGACAGTACACGGAGCATCGAAAAGCGAATGCGTTGTTCTGAAAGGCTTCCGAACTTAACTGCAGCACGTGGCCGGGGTGGGATCCAATCCTGAGCTCTTGGTAATCAACAGACGGGTGAATTCCTCTGCCACGGTGGGATGGATTCCTACAGTGTTCTTCAGAATCTTCATGGTGAGGCCTGATTTCAGAGCAGCGGCAAAGCCTTGGATAATTTCACCGGCAACCGGGCCAAGGAAGTGCAATCCAAGAACTTTCTGGTCGCCCTCCAGGAGAGCCACAGCCTTCAGATAGCAATATCGTACGCTACGCTGAGGAACGAAGAATTCGGTAGGTTTGTAGTAAGCGTGGAACACTTCCACCTTGTCCTTGCCGAACTTTGCTTCTGCATTTTCTTCGCTCATTCCAACACAGCCATATTCAAGCGGGGAGAAGATGGTAGTAGCAACGTCAGCGTAATCCATAATAGCATCCTGATTGTTAAATAGACGTCGGGCTAGCAGGCGACCAGCATGGATAGCCACTGGTGTCAGTTCTGGTCTTTTGTACAATACATCGCCAACGGCGAAAATATTGTCCACGTTGGTCCTTTCGAAGCTGTCCACATCGAGCTTATCAGACTTTCCTCCATCGGCGGTAGTAACACCAGCTTGATCCAATTTCAGATCGGCAGTACAAGCAGTACGGCCAATAGCAAACAGAACGGTATCGTAAATATCGGATCCCTCCGTTCCATCGTCGGAGCGGTATTTCACAAGTAGACGGCCATCTCCTTGCTTTTCAACAGATTGTGGTTGGGTTTTGTGCATGAATTTAATTCCTTTCTCTCCCATCGCATCTCCAACCATGGTGGCCATTTGCTGGTCAAAACCACGCAACAGAATCGACCGAACCATTACGGTTGCATCGTATCCTAGCCCCTTCAGGAAACCGGCACACTCCAGGCCGATGTATCCAGCACCAACGACCAGGGTTTTGCCAGGCTCTTGCGGCAAACTGAAGATATCATCGCTAGTAATTCCATATTCCATTGCTCCAGGAATATTCGGATACCGGGGCCGTCCACCGACGGCGACCACCACGTGCTTGGTGTTCAGTACTCGTTCGGTTTGATTCTTCATTAACGCTACCACATTGTGGGCATCCTTGAAGTAACCTAATCCGTTCACGTACTCGACCTTCTTGTCGCGAAGATCCACACGGGTCACCCAGTTGACGGATTTGATGTGATTCTGCACCGATTCGGTCAAGGTAGCCCAATCGTGCTTAATGGATTCCGGTTCGGCAAACTTCCAACCGTACGCTTGAGAATCCTGTAATGAAAAATTAGATTAGTAAAAGGCGTAGTTGACACACTGTACTGCAATGTTCTGCAAAACATACATGGATCGCTTCACCCAAAAGCGAAGCCTGGTGCATCAACTTTTTCGGAATGCATCCGACGTTGACGCAGGTTCCACCGAGACCCCATTTCGTGCCCCGAGGTGAAGGTTTAACAAAGTCCAGCACCGCTACCTTGGCACCGAACTGGACGGCTTCCTTGGCGCAGGCCAGGCCACCGGATCCTCCTCCAATCACAACAAGGTCGTACTCGAAGCTATCCTCTGAAATGCAGACAAGATGGGTGGTTTGATTCATTAATGATGATGCCAACAATCAAGACAAAAATAACCTACAACTTAGTGAACAGAAAGGAGTACTTTGTATTCAATGCAACTGGGAATAGTTTTGAGTTCCTAGATTTTAAAATAAATTCAAATTCGTGACTCTAGAGAACATTGGCCCTCATTTTAATCTCGTCACGTTAATAACAATGGGAAACAAGGAATCCACAGTGACGAAATCCATCGATAACTACCTATTGATGTATTTGGTGGCATGACATCTATCAGCGGACATACACTGGAAAGCGATAACAACAACTGCTGCAACATAAATATCCGTAAGGTCGGTGATATCACTACTGTCGATGTATTGTTGTACATGGGTGAATGAATCTTAATCTAAAAGGATCCTTGAGTGTGTTAGGTATGTATATGCCGTACATCCGGATGACTCGGCAGATTTCTCACACTGCTCGTACTATGTTAGTAGACACGTTAGAAAATTGAAAAAAAAAACCATTAGACAATTATATTTTATTAGTCGGAATGCAAACAGCTGCGTATACGTATGCTCAATATAAAAATCGATATTGTTAGTACGCAGTATTACAAGTCGATACTTCAAAGCTAGAACCATGTAGTAAACATTGCTTGGACTACTGTAGTGGAATTTTTTCATGATTTTTAAGTCGATTGTCATTCTTTTGTTTTGATAGTTTACCAACTACATATAGTCTTAATAGGCTATTATCTCGGTTGGGCTCTCCACACAATACTGACGGACGACTCGAGCTATGGTGCTCGCTAGGTCACTGTAGCGTTTCAGCTCGTGTCGCGGTTACTTAATCGGAAACATGTAGATTTGAATGATTTGCAGTTAAGGGCGTAGCTATTTCAATAAAACACCTGCACGTATCCACCAATGGTGAGATCTGACCCTTCTTACGTATTAATTGCATGTTTCGTATGATGGGTTTTTGCCTTTGAAAGGAACATTAAACTACAAAAAAGTGCGCCACTTGTTTTTGAATTCTCATGTGATTTAAGGTGTCCAACAATGGGCAGGCTTAGGTAGTGAACCAAGGACTGGACCCGTGTTTAATCGTACCATAATGAAAAATTAATAAATTTATCTACTTGACATAATATCTAACAATAGTAGTGTTGATCATTTTGTACATTTTTTTCTCTGTTCTGGACCTAACACCACTGCCACCAGTAATTTGATCTATTGTAGTATATCCCGTGTCCTTAGTTTAGTGCATGGCGTATTACTCCATCACTATTGAGAAATGATGAAGTATTCGATTTTTTTACAGTTGTAATTCTTGCATTTATCGCAAGGATGCGACTCTAATTGAAAGGTTTATTTATACCCTTCGGAGTGTTGAAACACCTTCCAAAGGCTCGCCCTTTTTTCGGTAAAAATTAGATTCCTTAGCAACAAAATTAAGGAATGACACCAATAATGATCATGTATCAGAACCCTAGCCTTAATCACTTCAAACTAGGGAACAACGAATAGAAGATTAGGAATCACATAAATGAAGACTAACTAACTCTCGAGTAACATTTGAAATGGGCCAATGTCCAAAACGTAAACAAATCGGGTTTTGATACCATTCTTTAGCACCGCTTGATAGCTACTAATCGTGTAGGAAAGTTCCGCATAATCGAGAAAAATCATTAAAAATAACTCGATTTTCGAAACGGCCGATCAACGAAATTTTTCGATTCATTAATTGGCCCGCACGCTAAAACGGCCAACCATTCATTTATTTCATTTCATTGATAAGCCTAGTGACGTAGAAGGGCCGATCAAACCAAAGCTAAACCCCTACTGCTTGAGGCAGGGCCGATGATTTGTTTTGAATGTATTTGACGTTGCAAAAAGGCTTAGCAAAGGGCCTACCATTTCTGATGACAAGCACAACGGCTTAATAAAAATGGCCTATCCATTGAAAAATTTACAAAAAAGGCTTATTAATTTATGAAATTATATTGTTATTGATTTTCTATATTTTTTAAAGCTTTTCGCATATTTTGGATGTTGTATACTGAGATACAGTTACTATTGTTATTGTGAACAATATAAATGCCTAAAATACTTCAATTTTCTTAAATATGAATTGAATAGTGGCGGTCAAAATTTAAAATTCATTTTCTGGTTTGTTTGCGTTTTGGACATAGGCCCATTTAAAATGTTACTCTAGAACTCATTTTTGCCTTGTTTCAAGATCATCCTCGGTGGACAAAGCCGAGTCTTGTCACTATAAACAAGGCATAAAAAGTAACAAGGACTAAGATTGTGTTCCTTGGATTAGTGAAAAATCCTGTTTGTACATATTCGCCAAGTAAATTATCATATTATCAGAATTCAGTGCCAACATTTCAAAGGGGCGTAATTGCTTTTGTAAACAATCACTTTAGCCGTAAATTCCTCGCGAATGAAATCTTACCTCTACAAAATAATAATGCTAGCTGGTAGAGGAAACATTTATCTACCTGCTGGTGTCAGATTTCCACTGCGTCCTAGCAAGAAGTACGGTCGACTTAGTTCGCGCTCCGCTATTTTGGAAGTTTTCTCGCTATTCGCTTGATTTAAATTGTCAGTTTTTTCTCGCTTAGAGTTCCCAGCTAAATAATTAACTAAAAGTGAGTTTTTTCTGAGAAGAAAGTGTGTTTTCGGCATCATCGGAAGGAAAATTGTTTTTGCGATTGCCAATTCGCCAACCATTTTGCGCACCATCGGTGCGTGGTAACGCATACCTGCACACGGATCATCGTCATCGAGTGTCAGCATCTGCCTCCGCATTTACACCGCTCATCTATCATCGTGTGTTCAGCTGAGTGCCGACCCTCACATAAGCACACACCAACGAAGACCGCCCGCACACGCTGATCGAAGATCATCCACGCTGCGCGTCGCTCCGCTGCTGCCGTTTAAACGCTCGGTGGTAGTAGTATAGGATTATCAGATAAGTTTTTGTTCTTGTTTCTCTCTTTCGCCCACAGTTAAATTTTAAGTTTGTGTTCTGTGTTTGTAGTTTTTTTTTTGTGTATTGTGTCCGAGTGATTATCGTTTCAGTGGTAGAGCGTTTTTCGCTCCCACTAGTACGGCAAAATGGACATTTTGTCGCAAGACGAAATGGACGTTTTGTCGGAAGATGACACCACTTTGCCACGCGATGGCAAGAAGGGTCGAAAACGTACGTCATCTCTCCCTGGTTCATCGTCTCAGTCTGGCAAAGGACAGGCTCAGATAAACCCCCGATCGCGAGCCTATCCAGATGACTCGACTGGCCCATGGGTTGTCTACTTTCAGCCCAGAAACAAACCTTTGAATGTAATGCAAATTACTAATGATCTGACGAAGCGATACTCGGCCGTGACTGAAATCACGAAGGTTAGGCACAATAAACTTCGTGTCTCCGTCTCTAACCTGAAGCAGGCTAACGAGATTGCTGCCTCCCAGCTCTTCACGCTCGAGTACAGAGTTTACATCCCAGCTCGTGATGTGGAGATCGAAGGTGTGGTCACCGAAGCGAGTCTGACCCCCGAGATCTTGGAGAAGCAGGCGGTTGGCCGTTTCAAGAACCGTTTGCTTCCTCCGGTGAAGATACTGGATGTCCAAAAACTGGGCTCAGTATCTGTCAGCGAGGGTAAAAAGAGTTTTACCCCCACAGACTCGTTCCGTGTGACCTTTTCTGGTTCAGCCCTTCCTCACTACATCGAGCTGGGAAAACTTCGACTACCTGTGCGTTTGTTCGTTCCCCGGGTCATGAACTGCCAAAACTGTAAGCAGTTGGGACATACGGCCTCCCACTGTGGCAGCAAGGCACGCTGTTCCAAATGCGGAGAGAAGCATGGGGATGACACCTGTGCAGCTACCGCACCAAAATGCGTGTACTGTAAGGGAACTCCTCATGGTATCTCGTCATGCCCGGTGTACAAACAACGCGGGGAGAAATTACAACGGTCACTTAAGGAACGTTCCCGGCAGTCTTTTGCAGAAATGCTGAAGACGGCCACGCCATCGACCAACGACAAAAATCCCTTTTCTCTTTTGTCAGATGACGAGACTGACTCTGACTTGGCTGAGGAGGGAACTTCTTTCTGTTTTTCAGCACGGAAACGAAAACGCATCCGGTCGCGGAAAGTTGAGAATGAAGAACCCCAAATCAGCTTGCTCAAATCAAGGAGTGGTGGAAAAAAGGAAGTTTCTACTCCTCCTGGATTCAGAAGAACTGACTATACCCAGGATTTTCCACCTCTCCCGGGGACATCAAAAACCCCTGATGGCTCATTTTTAAGAACAGAAGCCCCTTCTTCATCTGGGTTGTTCTCATTTGATAAAATTGTGGACGATATTCTCAAGTACCTGAATATTTCTGATCCTCTCAAAAGCATTGTTCTGGCAATGCTTCCTACTGTGAAGACCCTCTTGAAGCAATTGACATTGAAGTGGCCCCTCATTGCAGCAATCATTTCCTTCGATGGATAATTTTCCAAACGAGGTCGGGGATTTGATCACAATTCTACAGTGGAATTGTCGAAGTCTTATTCCTAAATTAGACTCTTTTAAGTTTTTAGTTCACAATAATCATTGTGATGCATTTGCTCTTTGTGAAACTTGGCTCTCTTCAGATATAGATCTTCCTTTTTATGATTTTAACATTATTCGACTGGATCGTGAGGATTCGCGTGGAGGAGGGGTACTTTTGGGGATCAAAAAGTGCCATTCTTTCTATAGAGTGAATCTTCCACAATTTACAGGTATTGAAGTTGTCGCATGTCAGGCTATTTTTAAAGGTAAGAGCCTTTGTATTGCTTCTGTTTATATTCCTCCTAGAGCCGTTGTTAATCGAAAACAACTTTCAGATATATGTTCGGTACTTCCTGCTCCACGGTTGATCATGGGAGATTTCAATTCCCACGGTACAGGTTGGGGGGAACTGTATGATGACAACCGTTCTACTTTTATATATGACCTCTGTGATAACTTCAATATGACAATACTTAACAATGGAGAAGTAACACGTTTGGCTGGACCATCTTCGAATGGAAGTAAATTAGACCTCACACTTTGCTCTAACTCATTATCGTTGGATTGCACGTGGAATGTGATCCAGGATCCCCACGGTAGTGATCACTTGCCGATCAAAATTTCGATTGCCAGTGGGTTCAATCCGTCGGAACCCGTTAACGTCGCGTACGACCTCACCCGTAATATCGATTGGACAACGTTCAAGACCGCGATAGAGGAAGCCGTGTCGTCGGTAGAAGGGCTTCCACCGTTGGAGGAATATAACTTCCTCTCCAATCTGATCTTGGACAGCGCGCTTCGAGCTCAAACTCGGCCGGTTCCTGGAACGTCTTTCCGTAGGAAACCTCCTTCCCCTTGGTGGGACCACCAATGCACTGAGGTTTATCGTAAAAAGTCCGACGCGTTTAAGCTTTTCCGGAAACGTGGAACACCCGGGTATTTCGAAGCGTACTCGGCTCTTGAACGCGAACTCAAGAGCCTCATCAAAGCCAAGAAACGCGGATACTGGCGGCAATTCGTGGACGGATTATCGCGCGAAACGTCGATGAATACGCTTTGGAACGCGGCGCGAAGGATGCGTAACCGGTCTTCGAACAACGAGAGCGAGGAGTACTCAGATCGTTGGATTCTCAAGTTCGCGCGAAAAGTATGTCCTGATTCCGTGCCGGCACAGATGATTCCTCGCGAAACGACGAATTCTGTAGACGAGATCAGCCAGCCTTTTTCAATGCTGGAACTCTCACTCGCGCTCCTTTCGTGCGGCAATTCGGCTCCGGGGGCTGATAGAATCAAGTTCAACTTGTTGAAGAACCTCCCAGACGTCGCTAAGAGGCGCATGTTGAACTTGTTTTGTCAGTTCCTGGAGCTCAATATTGTTCCGGATGATTGGAGGCAAGTGAGAGTTATAGCCATTAAAAAGCCTGGAAAACCCGCTTCAGATCATAACTCGTATCGTCCCATCGCGATGTTATCGTGCATTCGAAAATTGTTGGAGAAAATGATCCTTTTTCGCTTGGACAAATGGGTTGAGACGAACCACCTACTCTCAGATACTCAATTTGGATTCCGTAGGGGCAAGGGAACGAACGACTGTCTCGCGTTGCTTTCCACAGAAATTCAGTTGGCTTTTGCTAAAAAAGAGCAAATGGCTTCTGTATTCTTGGATATCAAGGGGGCTTTTGATTCAGTATCCGTTGAAGTCCTTTCAGACAAACTCCACGCTTGTGGCCTTTCTCCATTAATAAATAACTTTTTGTACAATTTGCTGTCAGAGAAACATATGAGCTTTTCTCATGGAAACTCTACAGCTTCTCGATTTAGTTACATGGGTCTCCCCCAGGGCTCATGTTTAAGCCCCCTTTTGTATAATTTCTACGTCAGAGAAATTGACAATTGTCTAAGTGACAACTGCACGTTGAGACAACTTGCAGATGACGGCGTAGTGTCTATGACAGGGCCCAAAGGGGTCGACCTGCAAGGACCCTTACAGGATACCTTAGACAATTTGTCTACTTGGGCTATTCAGCTAGGTATCGAATTCTCCACGGAGAAAACTGAGTTGGTCGTTTTTTCTAGGAAGCATAGCCCAGCACAACCAAAGCTTCAACTTTTGGGTAAACCGATCACTCATTCTATGTCCTTCAAATATCTTGGGGTCTGGTTCGATTCAAAATGCACCTGGAGATCCCACATTGAGTATCTGAGACGAAAATGCCAACAAAGGATCAATTTTCTCCGAACAATTACCGGAACGTGGTGGGGAGCCCATCCGCAAGATCTTCTAACGTTGTACCGGACAACGATTTTATCGGTTTTAGAATACGGTAGTTTTTGTTTCCAGTCGGCGGCTAAAACTCACATCATCAAACTGGAACGTATCCAGTATCGTTGTCTTCGTATCGCGTTAGGATGCATGCACTCGACTCATACGATGAGTCTCGAAGTGTTGGCGGGCATGTTGCCACTATCGGATCGGTTCTCGGAATTGTCCCTCAGGCTCCTCACCCGTTGCGAAGTTATGAACCCACTGGTAATCGAAAACTTTGAAAAGCTTCTTGAGCTGAACCCTCAAACTCGTTTTATGTCATTGTACTACGTGTACATAACACAGGATGTCAGCCCTTCACAGCATAATCCTCATCGTGTATGCTTCTCCGACTTCGGCAATTCAGTTAGTTTTGATTTATCTATGACGCGGGAGATTCATGGGATCCCAGAACATCATCGTTCCATGATTGTTCCGTCAATTTACGCTGCAAAGTTTGGCCAAGTTGATTCCGCAAGATCGTTCTTCACAGATGGATCACTAATAGAGTCGTCCGCTGGTTTTGGTATTTTTAACGAATTTCATAGCGCCTCTCGAATGCTTCAAGCTCCTTGTTCCGTATATGTTGCTGAGCTGGCGGCAATACATTATACGCTAGAAACGATCGCCTCACTTGCACCAGATCATTATTTTATTTTTACGGATAGTCTCAGCTCTGTCGAGGCTATTCGCTCTATGAGGCCGGTAAAGCACTCCTCGTATTTTCTCATGAAAATACGAGAGCTTTTAAGTGCTTTATCTTTAAGATCTTTTGTCATCACCTTTGCATGGGTCCCATCTCATTGCTCGATTCCGGGCAATGAGATGGCTGACTCACTTGCTAAGGTGGGCGCTATGGAAGGCGATATTTACGATCGACAAATCGCCTACGATGAATTTTTCTTCATTTATCGTCAACAGTCACTCGTCAGCTGGCAGAATAAGTGGAGTGAAGGGAGTTTGGGACGATGGCTATATTCGATCATCCCTAAGGTGTCGAAGAGTTCTTGGTTCAAGGGGTTGGATGTGGGTCGAGACTTCATTCGTATGATGTCTCGCCTCATGTCCAATCACTACTCGTTAAACGCTCACTTGTTCCGTGTTGGGCTGAAGGACAGCAGTCTCTGTGAATGTGGACAAGGTTACCAGGACGCTGATCACATCCTTTGGTCTTGTGTGGAGTATCGTGGAGTCAGATCACATTTTTATGATTCCCTTCAGGCTCGAGGTAGACAACCTAATGTTCCAGTTCGGGATATTTTGGCTAGACGCGATCTGGAGTTTATGAAACTCATATATGTTTACTTTAAGAATATTAACATTAGATTGTAAGTTTTATTAACCTTGTGTTTAGTTTGTATTTTGTACGTGTGGGTTTTTTATGTTTGTTTTCAAGATGAATAGAAATTAGTTCATGTTTTAGGATTAATTAAATATTTGTATCGTAAACCACATTTCAAACCTCCCTTTCCCTTTTCCCATCCAAAAAAAATTGTAAATCCCCACTAACCTCGAGACAACCGCGAGTATCCGGTCCAGCTCCTTTAACTTTAAATATAAGAAATCAATAATGTATAACAAAAATGATAACTCGGCTCTGTAAAGTTTATTCGATTGAGCCTGTACAAATAAAGTAATTAATAATAACCTGCTGGTGTCATTATTTTTCATGAGTGAGCTTTTATTCGCGAGAAATCGACGGCTAAAACCATTGATTACAAATACAATTACGCACCTTTGAAATGTTGGCACTGAATTATGATCTGGCTCGAATACCACCAAATCCTAAATATACTTCTTTACTACATGTAGCGAAAGACTTAGTAAACTTTCTTTTTACTTTCGTCAGCAATTATTCTGAACCGCCCTAGAGTAGGGAAGCTACAAACATCTAACGTAGTAGGAAACGTAGGAAACACAACGAACACCTACACACCAATGCAACCGGCAGCCCCATGTGGTAACGGTATTTGTAGCAACCACTACTTACTCGCTAGCAACGTGGTGTGCGTGCTGAGAAATCTCGCGTAGTGTGCATTTATAAGGCTTCCAACGCGTCGCGCGACAAGGAATGACATTTCGTGCGACTTGCTCCGCTGGCTCGGTCAGCAATGTTATCACTGTCTTATGAAACTTTCACGCTCTGGTTCACTTTATGCTACTACCAACTTTTAGATGACAACCGATCACTTCTGTTTCTTTGTACACATCTATAACGCTGAAGGAACTCCTTATGCAACAAAATATCGAAGGTATGTATTTATTACACTTCGATTCAACTAGTAAAATACGAAACTTTCTCAAGCACAATTCGCCATCAGTCAATCGAACCGAGTACTACGAGCCAATGAAACAAACATACGGTCGATCGAAAGCCGAGCGAGCCTGCTAGTGACGATGACGACAGATGCGCATGGAACAGTGTGTTTGTCACCACCACAGCGACAAGTTGAATAAGTACTTCCCTTTAAAATGATGAATGACCAATGGGAATAATATACATAGTGCATACAATGTTACGTTACGACGGCGGCTACCTCGAGTCCCAAGGCGTTCTTAGATTGTTCAAGGCCAATGTGCACGAAAAGCAATAAATACAAGCGAACTTTCAATACTATCTCCTATTCCTATTCTATAATTATGTACCCTCATCATCTCGTAATGTCCACACAGCTACAATAGTACCTACATGACTCTCATTTCCAAGTGCACGATCCAAAAATTTCAGATGTAAGCGTGACTTGCACTTTCTAAATCATTACACTGTCCAAAGTTAAACCGGTTTCTCTGATTCATCATTGCTCTGAATGGTTTAGGAATTTGAAAAAGAGTATACAATTTATGTCATATTGTTAGTACCTTTCACGCCGTTTCTGATTTTCTGTATTTGGGGTTGTTCATAAACTACGTAGTCAATTTAGGGGGTGGATATGGGTTGACGAATTTCTACGTTGTATACATTTTTAAACATCAATTACAGCCGAAATTCGGTGGTTGGGCTTTTTATACTTGGGCTGCTTTTTAGTTTTTAGTTTAGCTTTAGTAAAAAGTAACTGGATGTCAAAATAGATTTGACAATCGAACATAAATTCTTCCAGTGAGTGCGTTTAGGACCGCGAATCAAATGTAATGAATGTAAACATTTGGTATTCGTATGAAACATTTGAGTTTCATTTGAAATTCTTGAAGAAAACACAAACAAATATTGTACAATATGATTCCCTGGGTGGTGTCAGCTCATCTTCAATATTGAGACCAATATTTTACTGTCAACCGGAAACCAGTCTTTGATTGACTAAAAATTACACAAGCAAGTGTCGATGATGTTACTAAAGGGTAGTTTCATAGAGGTAACTCTAAGACTAGAAGGTCCCGAAGAAACGTGCTCAACTTTTTGGCTCAGCTCTGGTACTATCTTCGGTCCCAAGCTAATCGATTCACCCCTCGAAACATAGGAAAATCCACTAACCCCTCATTTTATCTGTCAAACTTTCATAGCGAATCAAAACAAACATTGTGTAGTACTAGAATTTCGACTAGAATGAGGTACGTTAATCGTTTGCTTGGGACCAATAGCTAGTCAAGTAGTGAGCCAATTTAAAATCGTTAGTTTCATATTGATTGTTGGTACCACCCATCGTGCAAATCAAGGATTCCTCGAGATTCCTGTATTATTTTCTTACAGCAAAAGCAAAAACATCAAGTATGGGAACAAACCTAATATTTTGTTTACTGGGGTTTAGAATTGCTGCAAAAGTCGGTAAAAAATCAAAGAAATGTTCTCTGTAAGTAATCAATTAAATTGACAAATTTTATTTTCTATCATTTAATGGGGTTAATGGTACTAAAGGGTGGAACGAGCAAAAAGTAGTCACACAAAATTAAGTGTAGAAAAATAATTTGAAATAATGAATCATCTGTTTTATTGTTGAGTTCACTCTATGCTTTGGCATAAATGAATTCACGCACTTCACGGTTTACACCTTTCATTTAGTTTTGCACAATCTTATTGCATTGTTAAACTGAGTCATTTGATAATGTACGCCATTTTGTTTTGATTTTTCGTTTCTCGTGATGATGGCTACAACTGCAACGTTGTCGGTTTCACGAGATCAGGCCAATACAGCTTAAGGTATCAATGAATTGAATTATTGTCTAATTGTTTTGTTGAACACATTTTAGGTTATTCGTGAACAATTTAAAAGTATCTTAGTTGGTAGATGGCAGTAATGTTTTAGCGACGATGCTTTACAGTGTAGGGCATTACTAACACAGCAGCATTTTTCCTGGGTCGAATTTGGTTCTGCGTCCGTTTTTTAACTACCGTAAAAATTCACTCATAACTATTAACAGGATTTTATGGGAGTATTCTCAAGCATTTCCTTTATAATCAATAATTTCCTATCACAGTGTTTATTTCAGAGTTCTTCTAAAATAAGTTTGAGATTTTCTCTAGGAGTCCCTTGAACACTTCAAGTGATTAAGATTAAAGGCCGGCGCACAATAGATACGTTTTCGGGTTTTTTGACAGATAATGCATGGGCTAACTGTCAAAAAACCTGCAAACGTATCTATTGTGCGCCGGCCTTAAATGTTTTATCTCTGAAAAGCATAAATCAGTTGCATACATAGGTAGAGCGAAACAGAGGAAAAAACTACAAGGGACAGTCCAATGGGGTTGTACACAATGGCGACGTAGGGCTACGGGGTCTTATATAATAAATCTTATTTGTTAACTGCAGCATGAGCTTGTGTTTTGTGTATGAATAGGAATTTGAGCGGGGTTCTCTCTGTTTATACTCTTTAGTATAACGCGCCTGACATAGATGGCCCACAGCAACTCACGAAGAGCTACTGATTCCGATCAATAGCGGTGCGGCTTCTCCCTCCTTCTATGGATGCTCATGTGGGCTGTAGCTCGCTGCTTGCAGGCAGCCTTTCGTTGTGTACTGGAGAACACCACCACTTACCACGCGGTGATTGAATAAACACCGTTTGGTGAGACTGGTTGGAATTCAAGTTTGAAATCTGTTTTAGGGAAATTGCTTTTCGCAGGCAATCGGTGATAATTTTAATTGTCATAACAACAGTTGCACTTTCGTGCAATTTTCAATAGTGACATTTTGAAAAATGATAAAGTCTTGATTTTAACAGATTCGTAGAAAAAATTCCTATCGATTGGCGTATCAAGAATCAAAATCCATCATCTCTGGATCAAAACCAGACCACTTTCATGCCGCGACCGACTTTGGTTTTTGAAATCGCACCCCCAATGTTGCATTAAAATACATGGTATGTTAGATTTAATCAAACAGCTTTTGTAAACAATTACTTCTCTCGATGATTTTGAAGAATTCAAGGCACGCCTACGCAAACCAACATTACCGTCGGGTAGGGGAAGTCTTACCCAACCTAATGAGTAATGCTGAGCTACAGGCAGCCTTTGGTTGTGTACTGGAGAACAATGTTCAACGCATCGCTGCTGCATCTGATGCCGACGACCGGACACCACCACACACGATGATTGGAACTGAATCCGATCAGCGGTTGAGGCCAGCCTTGATAGCTTGTGGGGAGCCTTTCGTTGTGTACTGGAGAACACCACCACTCACCACGCGGTGATTGAATAAACACCGTTTGATCAAATTGGATGGAATCCAACTTTGAAATCTGTGGTAGGGAAACCGCTTTTCGCAGGCAATCGATGATAATTTTAATTATCATAGCGACAGTTGCACATTCGTGCAATTTTCAATAGGGACATTTTGAAAACTGATAAAATCTTAAATTTAAAAGATGCGTAGAAATATATCTGATCGATTGGTGATACAATTATTGAAATTGGTCCAGGGGCAACTGAGTTATTAACGTTCAAAATCTTTCATAATTTTGTTACATGGTCGATTTTCGGTTTTCACAAAGTGTACCCCTATATAGAAATCACAGACATAGTCCTACGTCAAAAGTACACATAGTTAACAATCAATGAAATGTGTTTTACTGCATACAAATTCGCTCCTGGATTATGAGATTTTTTAAATATATTTTGAGGAGAGAATTTATAATGAATTTCAAGGATAACGCCAAGGTTGGGTCGAGAACTACTTCGGCCTAATCGCCCATTTTAGACCAATCGAGCAGAAAACATCAAATAAATTCATGATTACGGCGTTAACAAATCAATTATGCGTTTGGTACGATACTTAACAAAAGAAGCCCTCCGACCGAATCTATTTGTATCTTCAATGCATTATACCCCGTTCACATTACAACCTATATCATGTAATATAGGCTGTCTTGCAATGAGAACTCATACATAGGATTTCCAGTGAAAACTAGATGTATGAGTGCTCATTGCAAGACAGCGTATATCACGTGTTAAAGGCTGTAATGTGAACGGGGTATTAGGCCGAGTTTGGGGTCAAGAAGCAGTGTTATATTTTTAACAATATCTCAACAATTTGTTACTCTTCAATTCAAAATCTCGATTACTTTTTCGAAGGGATGTATCAGCTCTTGTAAACAATGCATTTGGTTGTCGATTTTGCGTAACTTGAAGCTCGCCCACTCATGCTAAAAACATGTTAAAAACATTTTTAACTATTATGTACATTTCAGTGCCAATATTTCAAAGGGGCATCATTGCATTTGTCAACAATGGCTTTAGCCATCGAATTCTCGCGAATAAAAGCTCACTCATGAAAAATAATGACACCAACTGGTTGAGGAATTTTTCTTCTACCAGCTAGCATTGTTATTTTGGAGGGGTGAGATTTTATTCGCAGGAAATTGACGGCTAAAGCCATTGTTTACAAATGCAATGTTGCCACTAATTTGTTAATTGGGTGATGATTGTTTTAATTTTGAGAAATACAAAATTTAAAATCTCAAAATTGAGCAGAAATGCAAATTATTTCGAACAATTTTACCTAGTATTTCACTTTCCGGCAGGTGCTTCCAAAAAAACTAGATAAACATTTCAAAGGGTCCTATCTGCATTGAATGATTCTCTTCATCGACTTTCTCTTCCATTAATAACTCAACTTCAAAAACATTCCCTGCTGTGTGCAACGTTCTAAGCATAAGATTGGAACTTCTGCTATCAAACGGTGTGGCAAAAATAGCACCAAATCCATTTGCGTAGGCGTGGTTATCAAAAGAGAAAGTCGATGAAGAGAATCGATCAAAGCAGATAGGACCATTTGGAAAAAAGTGGTATTTTGTAATCGTAAAATTGAATATAGGGGAAATGACGGCTTCGGCATGACAGACTATTTTCGGCAACCCAAATTGAAACACTATTTTCACTAGATTTTCTTACGAAAACACTTCGCTGAATTCGCAGCTTCAATTTGACTATATTTTAACCACTGAGAAAAAGCAATCTAGCAAGGTTTTCTTGAAATGCAACACACGCACTACAAATTGTAGCTGATTTCGAGTTGCCGATAATAGAACAGCAGATTTACATGCACTTTAAATGGAACGGTTGCCGAAGAAAAACTGGTTGCCGACAATACTCGCTCTCACTAGAGAAGATTGGAGGTTTGTAAAAGCGTTTCAAAACAGTTTTTGACAATTCTTTCGACTGAAATTGTTAGAGCAGCTGGCAGCAAAAGATTGTAAACAAACCAATACTGCATATGTGTGCGTTCCTTAGAGAAAAAGGCTATAGAAAGAAGGTCGCTGCTTAGGTTGCCGAGAATACGTAAATTCCCCTATCAGTAGTTCTGGGGCGAACGTTTCAGCTCAATTGATCTTAAGAGAACACAGTTACACATGCGCTGCTATTATATCGAACAAGGACTAAAATTAATGAAAATAATATAATTGGATGATTGTACCTGACCTTTTCCAACGCTAGATGGTGCGTGAAGTAATATTTTTTGGGTCGCCTTGTAATGTATGAAAAGGCATGAATGGATCATATTGTTAATATGATATATTTGAAAAACACGCTTGACGATATTTTTTGAACAATTTTCTTCTGAGAGTTTTGTCTCGTTATAGGTCAGGTAACATAGTAGAAATATGAGACATTTTTACGCGTTGTTTTTCAAAACTTCTCCAGAATGTCTTGAGCTTCCACGTAGTTCATTTTAATTCGTGAAATTCCTTAAATTTGTATGATGTTTCCTGCACTACTTTCATGTTTTCAAGGCTTTTACGAGATTCCTCAAATCTCTAAGGTACCCTGATTTTTCTGAGGTTCTCAAATTACCTGGAATCTCCTCGACCTTCTCTGAGCTTTCCTTATCCTTAATAAAGGTTTCGAAGGCATTATCAAGAGTCTTTTATCTATTTTTAAGTTCTTGTTGGAAGGACCACCCCGGAACCAACTCATCTAATTGAAGATGGGCTTACCGTTTGACATAGCTTGTCGACGTCTATCGTGCTAGACAAGGAAGAGAAAGATCTGTCAAGATCAGTCAATCACCAGTCTTGAGGCACATGAAACCACGCCGTTAATAAATGTTGTAGTGTAAAGTTTTAAAGTATATTGTTGTCTAAATCATCGGCGCATTTATTACAACAGTTCTCTACTCTCAATCCTATTGATAATTGGGTAATGTCGTTTAATAATGTGAATAACAATAATACGTATCTATCATGGATACCAAAATTATTTAAGCGGAATTAAATTGAAGATAACCTTTTTTGCTGTTTTATTTTTAATTGAAATAAAAGGAATATCCACTCTTAACACGAAAACGATAGAATAAATGTTTCTTCAACAATTTAGACCAAACATATGCATTTATTTTCAAAAAATAGGAAATTTACCACCCTAATCTTCATAAACAGCAAAAGAAGGGAATGTATAAGCACAAATATGTCACCTACATCTTAAACCCACTAAACATCTAAAGCATAAAGTAATGGTACTAAGACTACTTCCCTGCTAAATCCCCACTTAAGGGGAAGCTCACCGGCCCAAAAATAAAAAAAATATTTTCGGTACGTTTTTATTTTTCTAAAAATATTGGGAAAAATTATCAAAAATCCAAGAAAATCAGTTTCTTCCTTAGATTTTTGTCAAAAATTACATGCAAAAATTTTTTTTCTATCCCATCATAAAAAAAATTGAACTCTCAGAAAAACCGAAAAGTTGATGTTTTGTGGTTTTTTGAGTCCAACTTTATGCCATAATGACTTATAAAACATGTTTTTGCACGTGAATTTTCTTTAAAAAATTAGAAAAATGTGATTTTTTTAGATTTTTGATACTTTTTTTCAATAGTTTTAGAAAAATCAAAACGTTTTTTTTTTTTCGAAGTGGTCTGCTTCCTCTTAAGGGTCAGTATGCATTGTGGCTTAACAACTTGGACATACGTTCGTAAACACACCTACACACAAGCATCTTCGAATATGTGTTGAAAAAGAATCTATAAGCTAATATCGTCAACCGCAATCTTTTCATTCCACACGGCAACGAAATAAAATGAATATGTAGTATGTTGAGTATCGTAGTCGCGTACTGAAACAAAGTTCCACTTATGGTTAGAGACCTCGGAAGTTGGTATTAAAATTCCTCTATCTCCAGCCGTCAACAGAATCGCTTGCCTCAAATATAATTATTGTGGTGTGAGTTAATTACGTCACCAAAGGCACCCCATTCCAGGCGTTTTGGATTGGAACTATTCGGTTGCTTAGTGCTAGGAAAATCAACACAGAAAGACGGCGTGTTTTGTGACCCCCAATATTATGAATTCGATTCTAATTACTGGCTGCAACCGAGGCCTCGGTCTTGGCTTGACCAAGAGCTTTCTGAACTTATCGTCGCCGCCACGGCACATCATTGCAACGTGCCGCAATATCCAGCAAGCTGAGGTAAGATTACAACTATTCCCTTTTTCATCTCTAGACCGAGACATTCCTTCGGGAAAGTTCAAATCGGTATTAACATGGAAATCCGCTGAATCATTCCCCCAAGATGGGAACAATCTAGAAGCACGGCACACGCGGCGTGGACCTTCAGTCATTATGCCATTTCTGAGAGTATATTCACTACTTCAGCGGAACGAGATAATTATACATGAGTCAACTTACGATTGATGGGCGCCATGTTTTAATCCTTTTCGTGGTTTTTGTACGACTTCTTTGTAAGAAAATCACTTCTGTTTGTAACAGCTGGTGCAAAGTTTTATCACAATAAATTACTGAAGAGTTAACAGACTAATAGAAGAAAAATGAGTGTAGAAATTCAGATATTCACTTCAAAGTACAACACAACGCCGACTGAGTTAGACCGTATTGATCGCCGAGAGGTTACTCCGCACACTACCGGTGACGTCTGAGCGAGCTCGATTCAGACACTGCGACGAAACAAAACTGTGTCTCTTGAAATGTGTGTGCTGCTACGCGATGATGTGATTAGTTTTATATATCCACACAGCGATGCATCACGGCACGCATACACCTAACGTGATTAGAAGTTTCATTCATTCAATCATCATTTTCACGAAGAAAAATACCGGTAGGTAATGGAAGATCACTAATACATGCAGAGGTATAACTGTTGGTGGGTTCTGCGCTACGCGAAAGAAATTGTAGCATCATGTGGTTTCGTCATGTTGCGCAAATATAACTCATCATTAGGGTGATCCGATAAGTCAACTGAGTATTTGCTTAGAGCACAATTATATTGCCATTTTCAGTCTTAACACGTACGTGAAACTATTTAGTTGCGTAAAGCCTGAAGGAAATGTATGCGCCTATTTTTAAATATTCACGACATTGTTAAACATATTAAAAACGAATTAAATATTATTTTTAAAACATATACAAGAAAAAACTAGAATAGATTTCTGACCAATTGAAACATGTTTTATCAAAATCCGCCGAGAATTGACGAAATGGTAGCAAAATCAGTCGAAGACGTACGTGTTAATCAGCAGCACACAAGTAGATAGCGAGCAGTTTGTAGACAAACAACTTGTAGTCAGTTTGACAAAGCTGAACTGGCACAATGACTCTTGCTAAGATATTGATTAACCATAACGAAGGTATCAAAAACGGTTTTATAACACAGCCCGAATGTAACACTTGTCCGAATGCCATTAATTTTAGGAGATTATTCCTTATTTAAAACATGAGCAGTTTTTTCGGATTGTACTGTACTGCAAATCAAGTTTTAATTTATGATATAAAAATAAACTTTGGGAAATTTTTTGAGGATTTGAAAGTTTGATTAGATATCAGAATCATTGTTGTTCATCGATAACCGTCGATAACGTCTGCAATTCAAATTCACTATTGCAGACGTTAACGTTGACGTTCTGGACGGTTATCGATTAAAAACCCTGATCTAAATCTAATATAATAGCGTAGATTTTTCATTCTTTTAAGCATGAGCAGTTCTCTCGAGAACTTTGAAATATTTCTAAATTCTAGTATTTAAATGATGGGAAATCAGAATCTAATTTCAGAATATCATGCATTGCAGAAATGTTATGAGGTTTCTACAAAGTTACAGTTGAGCTAATGTTAGATTCGGGCAAATAATCGAAGAATCGGTGCTTTGAAATTTGAGTTCAGAATTGAGTGGATTTTTAAAGGTCATTCAATTAAAGCAAAAATTCTCGTCTATTTCACACTCAACATACACGTATTTTATCAAAGGGAGAAAACTATGACGAATCACCAACGGTGACTTTCATTTTTACTATCACCCCTATTGAAATTCACGTTGTTTTTTATCGGTGACGTCACGTTACGTCTGCCAGATTCACTAACCTATCCGTGGTGCGATATCTCCTCCAGCAGCTGTTGCTCCAACGGGTGCACGTGCTCTGGACGTGCAGCACAGAAATGACATTTTACGTTCACACTATACCAATTCACCAGATGATACTAAAACGAGATTTCCCCACACCTATCGCAATATTTGCAGGAGCTCAACTCGCTGGCAAAGCAGCACAGCAACTTACACATCCTACAAATCGGTAAGGCTTAAAATGCACATTCCAGACCAGCACAATGGTACAGTCATTAACGCAATCGATTATCGCCCATTAGATCTGAAAGATGTCGAGAAATATGAACAACTCGCGAAAGAAGTGGAATCCATCGTGCAAGATAACGGACTGAACGTGTTGTTTAACAACGCTGGCATATCTCCCAAATCAACGCGCCTCAATTTCGTCAAAAGTGAAGATCTGGTTGATACATTCGTGACGAACACCGTAGTTCCGATTATGCTTACAAAGGTGCCTTAGTTACTATCAATAGGAGAAACACTCTTATCACCGCAGTCTTTTTCTCGTTTGCAGGCCTTTGTCCCTCTACTGAAGAAGGCAGCAGAGGTGAATGTGTCGGCACCGATGGGCGCACAGAAGGCTTGCATCGTCAATATGAGTTCAATTTTGGGATCGATCGCAGCGAATTCGGACGGAGGGTTGTACGCATACCGAACTTCCAAGGCGGCGCTGAATGCAGCCACCAAATCGATGAGCCTCGATTTGAAACCGAACCAGATTATGGCAGTGGCTTTGCATCCCGGATGGGTGCGAACCGATATGGGTGGTTCGAAGGCTCCGCTGTCCGTGGAGCAGAGCTGCAATAAGATGGTACAGACGGTTTTGCAGCTGAACGAAACAAACAATGGCGGGTTCCTGCAGTACGATGGCAAAGTGTTGCCGTGGTGAACATCACGTTACTTTTCTTGTATGAATTCTATGTGAAAATGAAGAAACAGTTTGTGATAGTGTTAGGTTTTGCCTTATAATGACATGAGCATGAAGTTTACTTTCGAAAAGAAAACCCCTAAAATAATGGTTTAGATTATACTAAATCTGACGAGACACTAAAAACTAGACTAAGATTGTAAATACTCATTTCGCTATATATACGGGACAACGGAGTAAGACTGCCACCGTTTAGATTATTGAAACATTCAACTCATGAACAAAAGTATTCACCTTCTTCTTCTTTTGCTTTATTATAGAGACTTTCGGCCCTTTTTAACTTTATTTTTGAGATTTTTAGCCGTATGTCAGTTCATCTCGTCCATGAATGGTGGGGCCTCAGTAGGAGGACCCCCAACAGAGTAGTTTTTTACAGTGTTTACTTCAACCGAAAATTGGCTCCTGGCTCGATCGTACATTTACACAACATATTAAGAACACAAACATTAAAGTCTGAATAAGACAGAGCTCCACACCGGGGGAACCGGGTGGGCCCCCACCAGGCAGAGAGCCGAAAGGTATTTAAAAAAGACTAATTTTTAAAATACAATGCATCATCCTTTAAAAAGCGCATTACTGCTGCCAGTGTGGATGGATCATCACCCAGCATGTCGCGTATGCTATTAGGTAGCCCGTGGATTTTCCCGCAGGTTCTGATACTGAGAGCATACGCATAGAATGTGCTCGATTGAGGCTAGGGTTCTACAACCGATGCAAGTCCATCGAAATTGGGCGAGATCTTGCTGTGACCGGTCCTCAAACGCAACGCTATCTTCTGATCCCGCTGGTTCAACGGTTCTGTCCACTTCCTCGTTGTCCCTTTTATCCGTCTGATGAAGCGGGAGTGGTTTTGGGCCCACTTCGCGTCCCAAGCTTCCCACACTTTGCTCACGATCCAGCGCTTGACATCGTGTGATGGTACTTCGTTGATATAGTGAGGCGCAGATGGTCCTGCCCCAGCCAGAAAGTCAGCTTCAGAGTTGCCTGGTATTCCGCAGTGCACCAGAATCCAGCAGAATACCGTGATTGGTGGCGCGGACTTCAACGTTGCCTCCTGTACCCAGGGATGAGTCGGGGCCTCGGATGTCAGGGCTTGTATGACGCTGTGCGAATCCGTGAGGACCAGGATCGGTCGGTCCGAGGGCGTTGTAGCAGCGATAAAGATAACAGCAGCTTCAGCAGAGAAGACATAACATTGCGGCGGTAAGCTGAAGCTGGTTGGTGTGATGTTTCCGGCTAGACCGATACCGACCCCGGCCCGAGAGCGAGATCCGTTCGTGTATCGGTGAGTGTGCGTGGGGTATTTTTCTCCTAACATTTCAGCTACAGTCCTTTTCATGGCCACGGAATTGTCTCCGGCTTTGAACCTGTCCTTAATCCGGCTTTTGATTTTCGGTAATGGTGTTTGCCAGCATTTGTCTCCATGCCAGTGGACCCTGCACACTGGGGGGAGATCTTCGTTGGCAGCCGTGCGGAGGAGTCTGTTCCCCTCGTTGAGGAAGAAGATCCCTTGATTTCCGGATGTTTTAGAGATGAAAGCAAAAGCAGTGGCTTTGGTTGCAATAGCTGCGGTTATACGGAAGCGGAAAGCAGGCCAGAGACAATCCGGACGCAGGTGTTATAGACTGGTGCTAACGTAGCTTAAAGCTTATCCGTTGCGATGCCTCGCAACGTGAAAAAGGATGCTGCGGTTGTTCGATCCTCAGTTCGATCTGTGCTGTCGGGAAATGGTCCGAATGAGATTCACTCGGCTGCAGCAATTTTTCTTGACTGCACTGAAATGTTGTTGAGGAATCGGTCAACGAGCACTCCCAGAACTAGGACGGTCTTCTTCAGATCTTCGATTTTGATCGGTGGTCCGCTAATTCTGTGTCGAGCTTTTAGAGGCTGATAATTTGAAGCCTACTGAGCGGATTCACCTGGCGACGGCGGAGACTGCCGCTTGAACTCTCATCCTTGTACGTACTGACATGGGTCCGGTGGTGACGATGAGTGTCGTCGGCGTAGACATACACATATATGATTTTCGGTAGTTAACGGAAGACTCCGTTCATCGCCACGAGGAACAGGGTAACGGCGATAATCGATTCTTGTGGGACACCCGTTTTCTCTGGGAAGAGCCGGGATTTGGTGTTGCCGACTGCGACTCGGAATGAGCGGTTGGACAAGAAGTTCTGGATGAAGTGAACGATGGGTCCGTTAAGACTCCAGTCGGTTAGTTGCTTAAGGACGAGGGGCGTACACGTTCTGTCGAAGGCCTTCGATATGTCGAGCGATACTATCTCGGTGTGCAGACCGCTGTCGTCGCTTGAGAACTTCCCCTAGGGTTGCGAAATAGGTAAACATTCCGAAACCTTGTCGGAAAGCGTGCTGTCGGTGATCAAGGAAATTTCCAGCTTCGAGGTATTGCTTCAGTTTACGATTGACCATACGCTCCAGGACTTTGGCCATACAACATGTTAGCGCTATTGGACGGAACTTGCTGACTTCGCCAGTGGCTACCCCGGCTTTCGGGATGGGAACTACCAAGCTTTCCATCCATACTGCTGGGTACCAGTTGTTAAGCCAGAGCTTGTTGAAGAGGTCTAGCATCCGTAGCTGTCCTAGTAGCCTCTTGAGTAGAGGATATCCGATTTCGTCGAGTCCCGCCGACTTCCCGTTGCTGCAGCGGAGGGCATGCAACGGAGGGTCAATGTCCGTACCCTGCGAGGTTGTCTTTGTCGTTTTTCCGTTTGTCATGTCGTTTAGAAAGCTGGTGTTGGCCAAGTGACGAAATTCATCCGTTGCGGGGCTCTATGTAGGTTGGTAAGAGCCAGTGTCTTTAAGGAAGTCAAAAAATGATGTTTGCCTGTCTGTGTCATTGGATAATGCGTCTCTGATGCTGGCACCGATATCGTATTGGTCTCGGAGGTTTTGATGATTCGTTTCTCCTTTCATTTTGCGTAAGAAAGGGTCTCGTGTCCCATGCCGAAGCGATGATCGTGTTGATCCATATTTTTGAATTACCAATTACACACCATGGGGGTCGCTCTCTGAAGCCCTCTTCTTCTTTTTCAAGTGACGATCCAATCAAAGTGGTATACTTACGCAGTGTAATAACCGAAGACAACATATCAAGAAGACTGGCGATTCTTCCATTTTGTACTGTATTATTTACTTTTGCTCGAGTGCAGCCCTACTATATCTTTCGTTTGGATTCTGGCAGAGTTGCCAGACTTCTTGATTTGATGTCTTCAGTAATAACCATAATTCGGACGAAACAAATGCAGTGATGTTAATAGACATCAACTGACTTTCCAAACAACCAAACGAAAAAATAATAACGCATATGAGCCGGCTTCCAGTTTGATTCCAAAATTACTCTCTCGTATCTCTGGGTAAGTATGGAAATCAGCTCCACGGCAGAAAAATTTTAATGAGAAGGGAAAAATTTCGGCATAAAGCATTCGTTCTAATCTAGTTTTATTTGCATGTCGCAGTGGTATATTGATACTTGTTAGATTGTTACTCTCTCATTGTCATTGATGAAGAAGGTATATGTAAATACGATGTGTAAATCTGTATTATCAACTGGATTCGCCCATTCGTTTTCGTCCCATATCGTCGGTAAAACGGCTTAGTAATAATAAATGTCTACAGCCAAGCTCAGTGCTGTCAAGAGATGTAGAAGCATGTTTGTAGTTGTGAATCGCTTAACACGAATCATTTGGCTAACAATAGGTACGCGGTTTCTGATGCAATCGTTGCGGTCTATAACTTTCAATAACATATGAATATATATATATATATTTTCAAACCCAAAGTGGGAACAAACTCAAATGTACTCAAACGACAACTTTTACTAAAATTTGGAAGAGATTCGCGACTAAATTTAGACTATATCTTATTAAAGAATGCTATTACCAAATTGTTTATTTTCGCTTTAACACAACGCCACAACGCCTTATTACAGTTCAGTGACTAACACTTACTTAGTTAACAGTATTTCATGTAATTCAGAACGGTCTGCTTTGTATAGTAAATAATTTATTAATCGAAACTCGCTCGCACTACTGCACTGTTATCGTAAATGGAATGGTTTTCGGTGAGGAAGGGTTGGTGAATTTACAATAACACTTTGGAAATCAGAAAACTACTGACTTTGTTTGAAATTATCTTTGAGATACACAGTCGATTTCGAATAGATACTAACACAAGATAAATACTGATGGAAATGAGGATAGGATTCTCTGTTGAGTTGCAATTGACTATCTTTTTTTCTTTTCATTCATATCGCTATTATATACACGGGTTTTCGGTTGAGGGTGAATTAAAAGTTAAGCTTTCTAGCTCGACTTGTCAGAACAGACTGCCTGTCTGGTGTATTTTATTATTTAGTCGAGCCCTTCGGCTACCCGGTTCGATCGCTGAGTGACGATCGTTAAGGTGATTCCTTTTAGAGTCCACAAATGGCTACCACGTGGGCTATACATGCACTTCCACTTCGAATGTTAAATTACACACATCTCGGAAATTACTGCTCCATTTCACCTGAAATTGCTACTTCATGTATGCTGCAGTAAAGCAAACGTGGAGTAACAGTTTCATTTTGGTACTTATAGTAGAAGCTGATATGTGTGCTCTTAAAGTTTCGAAGTGGTTACGAGAGTAAGGATCTCACAGTGAAACACCTTAAACGACTACAAATGTCATTGGAATTTTAAATACTTCAGAGCGCGCTAGGGGTGCTCAGGTAAATCACAACAATCGCAAATTAAGAAGACGCTTGAGGCAATTAAAAGTTATCGTACCAAGCCTGAAAACTGTGTGTCGATGCTGTTGTAACACAGCTCGACTGTCCCGTTACCGAGAAGCGAGCGTGTTCACAGCATCGACACGCAGTTTACAGACTTGGTACTCTGATAGTTCAATGGAGATTTGTCTTGTTTCTGTATGTTAGGCTGTATGTACACTCAGAAATATTACTAATCAACAAAGATTGAAATTTTTTTGAAAATAAACTTTATATCATTTGATTTTATTGCTTTCAAATAAACAACCAAGTAAAGAACAATAACAACATTGAAATGACAGTGATCTAAAGACTTTCTACAGATAAACCACCGTTAAACAAGGTATGTATAAACGCACTTTATACTGTCCTATGCATAATGATTGTTTATACTAAGTTCGTATTCTCTCTCTTTATTCTTAGCTTTAGGTCAACCAGGCGAATAGCGATTTAGTGAGGCTTTCATAAACTAATAAGTTAAGATTTTTCTGAGTGTACAGCTGGTGGAGTACCTATCAATATAAAGGTGCTTCGACTGTAACACATCTAGGTACTTGCAGATGCTTAAAGTCAATATCAGACTTAAAGTGACGATAGATACGATAGATGAGGAGATGAAAGTATAGAATTGATACATTCAAAGTGTTTTTTATGTTACTTCATACGCGAAGTTAACGATTTTCAGAGTTGGTTGGAAATGCTAACATGAAGCTTTAGTGTGATGATTTATTAGCTAGAGAATGATCTTTAGAAGAGGGTAGGTGGATAGTTCCGTTAGAGTACGGCAGTATGAAAATTGAATAGAAGTTGAAAATGAGCGAAGGGCCATTAAAGCGACAGTTTACAAGATAGACGCACATTTTTGCCTGTGGACTTGGAGACATACTTCAAGTCCCCGCGTACATCGTACGGGCTAGGCAAAAATGTGCGTCTATCTTGTAAACTGTCGCTTTAATGGCCCTTCGCTCATTTTCAACTTCTATTCAATTTTCATACTGCCGTACTCTAACGGAACTATCCACCTACCCTCTTCTAAAGATCATTCTCTAGCTAATAAATCATCACACTAAAGCTTCATGTTAGCATTTCCAACCAACTCTGAAAATCGTTAACTTCGCGTATGAAGTAACATAAAAAACACTTTGAATGTAACAACTCAAGGCGGGAGTAGCCGTCAACAATGCTGATGATGGTACAGCACGCAACAACCACCCTACTGCTTTCTCTCTGAGATGATCACGTTGGTCATGACGAGAGGAGCAACACAATAGTTGGGTAAAGAAGAACTGCATTATAACACACCATCGACTGGAAATGCTCTCCCAACGTGGGGCTTTAGGTAGTGATGAAAACGTCGCTAGAACTATTCCACAGCCGCAGTCAGTTTATGAGCAACAGGAGGGACGCACATTTTTGCCTGTGGACTTGGAGACATACTTCAAGTCCCCGCGTACATCGTACGGGCTAGGCAAAAATGTGCGTCTATCTTGTAAACTGTCGCTTTAATGGCCCTTCGCTCATTTTCAACTTCTATTCAATTTTCATACTGCCGTACTCTAACGGAACTATCCACCTACCCTCTTCTAAAGATCATTCTCTAGCTAATAAATCATCACACTAAAGCTTCATGTTAGCATTTCCAACCAACTCTGAAAATCGTTAACTTCGCGTATGAAGTAACATAAAAAACACTTTGAATGTAACAACTCAAGGCGGGAGTAGCCGTCAACAATGCTGATGATGGTACAGCACGCAACAACCACCCTACTGCTTTCTCTCTGAGATGATCACGTTGGTCATGACGAGAGGAGCAACACAATAGTTGGGTAAAGAAGAACTGCATTATAACACACCATCGACTGGAAATGCTCTCCCAACGTGGGGCTTTAGGTAGTGATGAAAACGTCGCTAGAACTATTCCACAGCCGCAGTCAGTTTATGAGCAACAGGAGGGACGCACATTTTTGCCTGTGGACTTGGAGACATACTTCAAGTCCCCGCGTACATCGTACGGGCTAGGCAAAAATGTGCGTCTATCTTGTAAACTGTCGCTTTAATGGCCCTTCGCTCATTTTCAACTTCTATTCAATTTTCATACTGCCGTACTCTAACGGAACTATCCACCTACCCTCTTCTAAAGATCATTCTCTAGCTAATAAATCATCACACTAAAGCTTCATGTTAGCATTTCCAACCAACCCCCCCATAGAATTGATAGTTTCGTTATAGTACGGCAGTTTGAAAATTGTATATAGAAAGTAGAAATCGAGTAAAGGACACTTTTGAGGCAGGTACGAATCGGATCGAGCATTCCCTTCACAAAACTCACCTGTTGATGAGGGAGGGGCGGTGAGGGGTGTTTCCCTCCGCCACCGCACTGGCAAAAGGAATGATCGCCGATTCGCTCATGGACCTCTGATGTGCGGAAACGTTTCTATCGATTGTTACACACTCAAGTTGCCATCTGACGCAAGCATCTAGTCGATGGTTTTTGAAATTGCAGCTATTGTTTTTCTCTACCACAGTCTGTGCTTCCGTCATCGTCAACTTAACGATCTCAAGGAGACAAAGGTTTGGGGAGTTGCTGCTACTTATAATCACTATATTCATAGTCTGACAAATATCTCGGGAACCAATTGAGCTGTCAAATAGCGGAACCAATCGAGAAAATCACGACCAACAACAGAAAAGAGCACATTAGTTATTGCGAACAGAACTTCGGAAATCGTTTTCTCGTGATTCAAGGCTTGCCTACGCAAACTAACACTATCTTTGGGTTGGGGAAAGTTTCCCCTGTCCGACGATGCTGGTAATTTGCGTTCGATTGTCGTGGAAATAATAATCAACGTAGTGTTTACAAAAGTTAATACCTTTTCGATTGTTGGTCTACAATATATTGAATTGGTTCCGATTTTTGATAGATCGAAATTCTATCCGCCAGACTATAAATATAGCGACTATACTGCTACTGTACCTTTCAACCAATGACAGCATGATTGATGGTAAACTCCCATCTAGATGTTTGTGGAAGACGTTGAATCAAATCTGGATGAATCATCATCTGTTTGAATTTTTAGTTACCTTTTGAAATTATTGATGGTGTGATGGATATCTACCAGGTGTAGAAGCCGCCTTCCTGGCATTCGATTGCCGTCAATAAATGGCGATCGATGCATGTCGTTAATTGGCACTCGATTTCGGAACAGAGACCGACGTTAAGTAAAAGAATTAGGAAGCAGAATAAAAATAAAAAAGGCTTGCATAACTTTTTTATAAAAGGCCAAATGAAAGTCTAGCTAAGTATCTAAATCAATTATAAACGTGCCGATTAGCTTCCGAATGGAGTTTCATAAACAACAAGTTAATTGTGAGGTCTATGAAAAATACTCGCAAACCTTTAATCTATTGAAAAATAATATTTTCCTAGTCTTCAGCACGCAACACATCCCAAAGAATTACTGACGATTAACCAAAAGTGGCGCTTATCTCTAAACAAAAACGCTATGGGCGGTAAGCGTAGCTTTCGCTCACCCCAGTAAGCCTGGGCTCCATCCCAGCCGAGGTCGTTGGGATTTTTAGAGCCGAAAAAATCTGGCCGCGTCTTAATTTGGAAGGGAAGTAAAATCGTTGATCCCGGCCCTTGTGTTGACGGGTCCGATATGTAGGGACCAGGTGCAGTCGCCTCCTTGGTTAAAACTAGTGATGGACCATAAGGTGAGCCATGATACGTTTCGCAGTTATTCTGACAGCTAAAAAGCTGTGAGTGTGTGAGTAATCAGGTGATGCCGATGCAAGATGTAAATATACACAAAGCTATTTTCAAAGGAAAAGATCTGTCACTTCAACTGTGAACTGTCAAAACTTCTCGGTAAACAAAAAAAAAAACAGCTGACCGCAGCTATCTCATGGAATGCCTTATTAGACCGAAGGTGGGAAAGAACTGAGTAGATCCAGTTTTTCGTTTAGAACTTTTTCATGACCTCGTACTTCATTTTTTTATGATGTCGTAGTGAATTCGGAACTCCCACCAGGACCCATGCACAATCCCTAGAATGGTGAACAGAATCTCCATCCGGAGAAGATCCCACGACCGTTTGCCCTCGATATGGGGAGAAGAGCTCGCACTCTATCGACGAAATGTTAGCTCTACAAGGTGTTAGCATTTCCATTCCAAACCAAATAAGTAACGCCATATAAATGCATACTTTGGACTCCGGAGGACGCTCCGGTCGAATAAAATTCGCCGCCGCACGAAGTTGACTGTCTATAAGACGCTGATTAGACCGGTGGTCCTTTACGGCCACGAGACCGGGACTATGCTCGTGGAGGACCAACGCGCCCTTGGTGTTTTCGAACGGAAGGTGTTGCGTACCATCTACAGTGGAGTGCAGATGGATGACGGAACGTGGAGGAGGCGAATGAACCACGAATTGCACCAGCTGCTGGGAGAACCATCCATCGTCCACATTGCAAAAATTGGGCGACTACGGTGGGCTGGGCACGTCGTAAGAATGCCGCACGACGACCCAGTGAAAATGGTTCTAGAAAGCGACCCAACAGGAACAAGAAGAAGAGGCGCGCAGCGGGCAAGGTGGATCAACCAAGTAGAAGGTGACCTGCGGACCCTTCGCAGACTACGAGGCTGGCGAACTGTGGCCATGGATCGAGTAGAGTGGAGACGACTTCTTCGGACAGCAGAGGACAACAAGGCCTTAGCCTGATTGGTAAGGTAAGTAATATAAATGCATACAAAAAACCGGTCATTGGTGGAATAAAGTTTTCTTAAAAAGCCAAGAAATCTTACTAAATGCTTCTGTAATTCAAGCCAAAAAAAAAACAGGATTTAAATTTGTATAAATGCTCAGAAAACGCTGAGTTTAAAACTTCATTCGTTGCCAGTTTGTATATTATTTAAAGTAGGTATGTAGGTAATTATCGCGAACGATCTCATTTTCTAAATACCATAAGTACAAAGTTTGCATTATCCATAGCAGTTCCCAGTAAAACTGAAAGCCTATGCAGACCGTACCGGTTTTGCAATTCGTTCAATAATTAATATTTGCCCTTAATATTGAATCAGTATGTATTCGAGAATCCCCAAATAACGAATCATACCTATTTACCGTCGTCGTCGTCGTCGTCCAGATCGGTCACAGGGGTTGTCCCTGCTAGAGCAACCGTGGAAGCACTAGTGGAGGATGATGCAATTGAAATTAAACTGGAATCGACAGGCGTAGCGCCTCCTGCGTTTCGATTCTTCTGTAACCGGTAGGGTTGATTGCTAGTGAGGTGGGAAAAATCATTCATCACATCGTTGTAGGTGGAATCTCCACCCAAGTAGTGGCCCCCTTCCTCACCGGGACCGATTTCGTCGTTCAGTTGAGCTAATCTCAACAGTGTCACGATGTCAGCGTCGGTTCTCTCTACAGCTATGTCGATTGGAAGTTTGTTATTCACAGCCTGAATGTCATATTTGGCTTTGTGTTTGAGGAGTAAATATGCCTGGGCAGTGGAACCGTTTTCTGCCGCCAGATGGAGAGCTGTGTATCCGGTCCTATCGGTGGTATTGATGTTGCAACCGTTGATGAGAAGAAATTCACAGGACATAACCGACCCCGAGAGTATCGCAGCATGCAAGGCCGTCCGATCGAGCTCGTCCGGGTTGGTCCAATTTTTGTCCGCCCCAAGTGCCATAGCTTGACACATGACTGGCAAATTATGACCACTGGCTGCTTTGTATAGGAGATAGTTTGGATTTAACTTGTCGAAATCTTCACACTCCATGATTCCGTTATCCTCCTCACCGCTAGTAGATTCCTGGTCCGAATTAAGCAGCAAGAGATGTTCGTCCATCAGATTATGATCATTTTCGATAATAGTTTCTCCAATCAATAAAATGTCGTTGAATTTCTTTGGAATGTTTAGATTAACGTCTTTTTCATCGGCGTCCGGGTCCGTATCGGTGTTTGCGCCACTGGACGTTTCTTCGGCCGCTTCTTCATTTTTCTTCGTCCTGAGCAGCTTGCGATAACTTCTCCGTCTCAGCTTTTTGATACTCCACTTTTCCGGATATTTTGAGCTATCATTGTCCAAACTTTTGAACGATAGAGTAGATGAAGACGTGCTTGTTGGCGTTGGGTCCAGTACCAATCCACCAGTGCTGTCCAGTGCAAGTACAAACTTCCGATCGATATACTTGGCCTTGATCCATGCTTCGCGAACCGATATTTCACAATTATCCGTTGCTCGGTCAAACTTGTTTACTTTTGCCGTATTAGCCTCGTACACCCGATTGATGACGTCATTGCCTAGCTCTATCATGACCCGAAGTATTTCCGGTTCCCATACGTCCAACGTTAGCGAACGGACCTTGCTGTAGTGCACTCCCAGGCTTCGGTGCACTCCCGAACACGCTATGCATAGGGTAATGCCGAGGTTGATTGAAGCCCACTTGGGATCTGTGTTGCCGCAATCACAGCAGCGTGAGTTTCCGGGGATTCTTAGAATTTGGGTCCAGTTACTGTAATGAAATGACAAAACCAATGGCAATTTAACTGTTCCAATATTTGTGATAATCACAGAAAATAATGCTAAAAACTCAAACATCAGATGCTTGCTTGAGGTTATCAAAAAGATGCCAATACTGTATGTGTACTTACATTTTCTTAACGCTTTTTCTCGGTTTGCCTGCTTTTCCGACTCCTGAGGGGCCATCGCCACTGGGGCTACCGGGTGTTCCCTCGTTGGTAGGCGATTGACTGGCAATGCCACGCATATCACTGCTGTACGGACTATGGTACTGGATAGCCGAATCGATTCCTTTCTGTAGCGCCTTAAACCAAGCTTTCAGCATTGCCTCCGAATCCGCTTGCAGGATGTGAGATCTAGAAAAAATAAACCAAACTGATACACAACAGAGCCTTGTATGGGATAGAAATAAATCCTACTTGGTGGGAGAAATAACCTCGAAGCAAAACCGGCGATCAGAATCAGACAGCAGACGCACCGTACACAACCGTAGATCCTCTTCCATGACCGTGGGCAGTTCTTCGCCCATTCGTTTTCTGTAGAATAACTGATTGTCCCGCATGCAAAACCATCGCCTGTTCCAGGTCTTGAACGCGTTGGACGTTCTCTTGAACAGATAGCCTTCCATGTGATTCAACGGTCTGTTGGTGTACGGTTGGGAAGCTCGCTGATCTGAGCTTTCGCCCGCTGAGGAAGCATTCGAAATCAACGATGGAGTACCGGTCGATGAAGAAAGTGACTTCTCCCCGCTGTCCAAAAGCTCGTTCACACAAGTGTGGCGGTTCTGCATCTGCTTATCCAGTACGTTGTATTCCGCTCGCATGTTACTTATTTCTTCGTCGAGAGTTTTGAAAAATCCGCCAAAATCTTCACAGAGATCTGATCCCTGGTGGAAGTAGGTGCTACAGGCTTGAATATAGCTCAGGATGGTTGCTAGAATCTCATGCCGTTTTCGATTCTGTAACATGGTGATATAGTTGACGTAATCCAGAGCGGCATGGTTGTAGCATGATTTCGTGGCAGAGAGTAGATTTTCCGCTTCGACGATGTCTACCGGACGATTCTTGTTGACCTGCGCATTCTTGTAGACGGCTACGTCTAGGTTTTCCGACACTTTCGTGAAAATGTGTTTATAATCTTTCACCTCTTTGACATCCTTTTTCAAAAAGCTCGTCAGGTTTTTCAGCACCGTTCGGCTCGCTTGATCCAGAAGAGTTGTGTGAAATTTGTTCATTTCCTGTAGGCAATGGATCAGCTTGGTTAGAGCACTGGTGGAGGATTTGTCCTCTTGAAAGTGCTTCTGCAGGTCCCACAGAGATGTTGCGAAAGCGCTCTGATTTCTTATGTATTCTTTGCCACTATCGACGGAGAGACTGCACATTTTAATTACTTTTTCTAGCTTTTGCTCCAAGTGATCGATTTCATTTTCTTCCTGTTCAAGGCGTAGCCTGTAATAACAGAAATGCATTTAGTTTTTTTATGGAACGAAAGTAGCATGCAATCAAGGTTAAAAAAAAAAGTAAACTAAAGTGGCATTCGGTCTAATGAATCATCATTCAGAGAACTGAAATACGACATGCAATACAAATGGTATTCGATCAATATTTTGCCTGCCGACCGAGCGATGAGCGATGTGGAACGAACATAAAGGAGCACACAACAGCTCGAAGTCATATGCCCTGCGCCTTCATTCAAAATCAACAATTCGTGCGAGTAGGTTGTGTGTTACGTACACTGGGCGATTCCCTTGGTGGATATCTGGATATTCACACCCCCTTCTGATGAAATTCATTTGACCAATCAATTTGATATGCTCACGGATGATGAGAATGATTCATCATCCGGGCAAAATTTGAATAAACTTTCCCGGCCGAATGCCAAGAAGGAAAAGGTCCCCCCTATTGTGGTAACCACTTCCGATTTCCATGCTCTTTGCAAGGAACTTTTGAACTTTGTCAAATTCAAGTTTTCACTTCAAATTGATCGCCGGGGTTATTACAGTGTATTGGCTGAAACATTGGACGGATTCAAATGTCATCTCCAGTATCTTACTGAGAAGCAACACATTTTTTTCACTTACGACACTAAAGCGGAACGTCTGTTCAAGGTTGTCTTGAATGGTCTACCCAGTGGCGAATCACTGGATCAGATCAAAGATGAATAGACAAATTTGCATGTAGTTAAGCCTGTCCAAGTAATCAAAATGAAATTTAAATTCCGTCCTGGCGATTCACGCAACGGGATTTCTAATGATTTTGATTTTAAATAATTTGAACTATTATTCAAGTCTTGTAAACTAAACAACCATCGAATCCCTATTGCACAAAATTGTATAGTAGGTGGTACATAATTTTCACTCAATTGTACATAATCTTAGAATATAAGCTAGTTAATAAGAAAAGGAAGGACTTACTGTAAACTAATCGTGTATCTTCACACTTTATATCTTAAGTTAGGTAACCTATTTAGTTAGATTTTAGTTAGTTTTAAGTAGTAAACGCCAACAAATTCAATGTATCTAACTTGTGCTATAACAATTATCACTAACTTTCAATAAATTATGATTTTATTTCACCTTTGTACTATTATAGATTTGGGCTACAAAATGGTGAGTTATTTCAGACTACCAGCTGAAACATGGACACAGCTGGTTGGCGTAGCCTGGGCAATGTTGCCAGTCCGGCAATAGCAAAGTGAAGAGGTGCGACGCGAACACTGGCGCGGTAACCATAGTACGGTGATAGAGGAAATGCTTCACCAAACCTGAGCGTCTGCTCACCATGGAGGTGCGGCTCAAAACGGCGTCTGTTCTCCATGTTAGGAGCAGCTGATCACCGTCCTAGTGCCAGCGTGGGACTCTAAACAGAGCTGTGCACGACGGTCCCCCGGCGAGACAGGGGGTTGGGGCAGGCCCAACAAGCCGCCCTAAAAAAAAAAAAAAAAACAAAGTTGCAAATACCGAAGAAAGAAATACGGATCGGAACAATCGGCACAGACCTACGCGACGAAATAAGGACTACGATTGGAAACTCGGAACATGGAACTGCAAATCGCTCGGCTTCCCGGGTTGCGATAGGTTAATCTATGACGAACTTCAACCACGCAACTTCGAAGTCGTAGCACTGCAGGAACTTTGCTGGACGGGACAAAAGGTATGGAAAAGCGGGCATTGAGCGGCTACTTTCTACCAGAGCTGTGGCACCACCAACGAGCTGGGAACCGGCTTTGTAGTGCTGGGTAAGATGCGCCAACGCGTGATTGGTTGGCAGCCGATCAACGCGAGGATGTGCAAGTTGAGGATTAAGGGCCGTTTCTTCAACTACAGCATTATCAACGTGCACTGCCCACACGAAGGGAGACCCGACGACGAGAAAGAAGCGTTCTATGCGCAGCTGGAGCAGGTGTACGACGGCTGTTCGCAACGGGACGTCAAAATCGTCATCGGCGACATGAACGCTCAGGTAGGACGGGAGGCAATGTATAGACCGGCAATCGGGCCAAACAGCCTGCATGCCGTATCGAACGACAACGGCCAACGATGCGTGAACTTTGCAGCCTCCCGGGGTATGGTAGTTCGAAGTACCTTTTTCCCTCGCAAGGATATCCACAAAGCCACCTGGAGATCACCTGACCAACACACAGAAAACCAAATCGATCACGTTCTAATCGACGGGAAATTCTTCTCCGACATTATCAACGTCCGCACGTACCGCAGTGCGAACATAGATTCGGACCACTACCTAGTTGCAGTATGCATGCGCTCAAAACTCTCGACGGTGCATAACACACGTCGAAGTCGAACGCCACGACCCAACATTGAGCAACTACGGGACACCGGAGTTGCCCAGGACTACGCGCAGCAGCTGGAAGTTGCACTACCCACGGAAGAGCAGCTTGGCGCAGCTTCTCTTGAAGATGGCTGGAGGGACATCCGTTCAGCCATAGGTAGTACTGCTGCAGCGGCACTAGGTACTGCAATTCCGGACCGAAGAAATGACTGGTTTGACGGCGAATGCAAACTGTTAGTAGAGGAGAAGAATGCAGCACGGGCGAGAATGCTGCAACACCGGCCCCTGATCTTCAAGAAGTTGAGGAGGAGATCGGTCGGCTGAAGAACAACAAAGCAACTGGTGTAGATCAACTACCAAGTGAACTATTGAAATACGGTGGTGAACCACTGGCTAGAGCGCTGCACTGGGTAATTGCCAAGATTTGGGAGGAGGAGATATTACCGGAGGAGTGGATGGAAGGTGTCGTATGCCCAATCTACAAAAAGGGCGACAAGTTGGATTGCTGCAAATACCGCGCGACCACACTGCTGAGCGCCGTCTACAAGGTACTCTCCCAAATTCTATGCCGCCGTCTGTCACCATATGCAAGAGAGTTCGTGGGGCAGTACCAGGCGGGATTTATGGGTGCCCGCGCTACCACGGACCAAATTTTCGCGATTCGGCAGGTTCTGCAGAAATGCCGCGAATACAACGTGCCCACACATCATTTGTTCATCGATTTCAAATCCACATACGACACAATCGATCGAGATCAGCTATGGCAGATTATGCACGAGTACGGATTTCCGGATAAACTGACGCGATTGGTCAAGGCGACGATGGATCGAGTGATGTGCGTTGTTCGAGTATCGGGGACACTCTCGAGTCCCTTTGAATCTCGAAGGGGGTTACGGCAGGGTGATGGACTTTCATGTCTGCTGTTCAACATCGCGTTAGAAGGTGTGATCAGAAGAGCTGGGATAGACACGAGTGGCACGATATTCAGGAAGTCCATCCAGCTCCTTGGTTTCGCCGATGACATTGACATCATGGCACGGAACTTTGAATGATGGCGGAAACGTACATCAGACTGAAGGCTGAAGCTAGACGGATTGGACTTGCCATCAACGCATCAAAGACAAAATACATGAAAGCAAGAGGTTCTAGGGAAGACAATGTTAGCCTTCCACCCCGAGTTCAGATTGACGGTGACGAAATCGAGGTGGTCGATGAGTTCGTGTATTTGGGCTCACTGGTGACCGCCGAAAATGATACCAGCAGAGAAATTCAAAGACGCATTATGGCAGGGAATCGTGCCTACTATGGACTCCGGAGGACGCTCCGGTCGAATAAAATTCGCCGCCGCACGAAGTTGACTGTCTACAAGACGCTGATTAGACCGGTGGTCCTTTACGGCCACGAGACCTGGACTATGCTCGTGGAGGACCAACGCGCCCTTGGTGTTTTCGAACGGAAGGTGTTGCGTACCATCTACGGTGGAGTGCAGATGGATGACGGAACGTGGAGGAGGCGAATGAACCACGAATTGCACCAGCTGCTGGGAGAACCATCCATCGTCCACATTGCAAAAATTGGGCGACTACGGTGGGCTGGGCACGTCGTAAGAATGCCGCACGACGACCCAGTGAAAATGGTTCTAGAAAGCGACCCAACAGGAACAAGAAGAAGAGGCGCGCAGCGGGCAAGGTGGATCGACCAAGTAGAAGGCGACCTGCGGACCCTTCGCAGACTACGAGGCTGGCGAACTGTGGCCATGGATCGAGTAGAGAGGAGACGACTTCTTCGGACAGCAGAGGACAACAAGGCCTTAGCCTGATTGGTAAGGTAAGTAACTATTATAGAGGAATTACAATTTTTTTAATAAAACCACGCTACCACGTTCGGTGAATAATATTTTTTTTTTGTTTCGATTACGGTCTTACGTATGCGCTTTCTTCCCAAGTAACCAAGAAGCCCGCTAATTCGCCTTTTTACAATATAAGGCTGATACACGGCTAACATAGGGCATGATAAGCTTTACACACTAATCGAGTCAGTACGGTTTTACTGAGTTTTTGAATTGCGGAACTGTTCGGTAAAAGTTTAAAAATCTGTGGAAAATTTATTAATGAGTAAATTTGTTCTGAACTTGTACATACTTAGTTCTGTTAACCCCATTTAATGATAGAAAATAAAGTTGGTCGTTTTCATTGATTCCTTACGGATAACGGTCATTTGAATTTTTACCGACTTTTTCAGCAATTCAAAAACCCAGTAAAAAAATACTGACTCCTGTAAAAAAATCTTAGTGTGTATATTAGCCGCATATTAGCCTTATATTGCAAAAAGGTGAACTTGGGTTGTTCATGCTGCTCCGAGTTGCCTCTGGTACGGATCGCTCGTTGAGCCTAGTGGTGGTCATCGGAACACACCCCGGCCCGTGATCCTGGTGCAGCGTTCACCTCTGGAACAGTGTCACCATCGCTGATCTCCATCATAGAGAGCTTCGCAACAACCCGCTTCAATACACCACTGTTGGTTCGAACCAACGCTTGTCGAACTCTTCCATCACCGGCTACTATTGGCTGCTCCACAATTCAGCGTATCCAGCACTTTCGTTTGTCTCCGTCGACTATGTAGACTAGATCGCCTTCAACCTTCAGATTTTTGGCCTCTCC